AGCACTGTCATCCCATTGTTAATCGATTTGCTTGAGCAGGCACCAGTAACGTCTCCATTGTGAGACTTGTTGTTACTGTTTTTGGCATATCGAATATGCCACGGGGAGCTTGCCAGGCTCTGCCGTGTGGACGGGATACTCTCAGTAGCTTGCCGGCCACTCCAAGAGGGACAGAGGAAGTGCATTTGTGGTAAGACTATTTAATATTGCTTTCAGTGACAGTTAAATACACAATTTAATTATTAAATACAATCACCATGCTGTACATTAGAGCCTCAGAACGTATACTTTTTCTGATTGGTTTTTATAATTATTTATTTCTTGCTAACCTGGCAGTGCTCAGGGCTCACTCCTGGCCGTGTGCATAGGGATCACTCCTGGTGAGGCTCAGAGAATTATTTGGAGAGTGAGGGATCAAACAAGTGTTGGTGAATGCAAGGCAAGTGTCCTACCTGTTGTACTAATCTCCTGGCTTCAGAACTTGTACCTTTTCTAACAAAATATTTATACCCATTGGCCTGTAAGGGCCCCAGTTTCTCCCTGCATAAGCTTGGCAATCACCAATTTATTCTGTTTCTCTGAAACTGCCTAAAAGATTTGACATATGGGTGATACCATCCACCCTGCCAATAACGCACCGTGGCGGGGTAATAGTCTTTAGCCAGGGGCGCCTCAAAGCTCCCACCCCAACTCTCCAATAATTCTTCAGGTAGAAACAGCCCATCTCCCCAGATGTCACTTTGAGTGACTTATACCTCAGTCCTTCAACCCCCCAAAACAATGGGCATCTGGACCCTGGCTTTTACGAGTTTCATATGATTGTGGTGATGAAGTGAAAAGAGAGTTGTGACTCCCTCAACCAACAAGATGGGAGGGGGCTGTTGTGTCAGAACTAACACTGTTGTTCCAATACATGGGAACTTGCAAATGGAAATTTTCTCAGTCTTTCCTGGGGGAGGAAAGAAATTTGTATTCGAGGTCTTGAATTTTTTTTGAATATTTTTTGAAAAATTTTTGAATTTTTTATTTCTTTTTAAAAATTATTTTTATTTTATTGAATTTTTATTGTTTAAGCTTTAGTTTACATGACTATTGTTTTAAGAGTACAATTACACATCTCTTCAAAATATAGTTACCACAGTCCACCTACTCTCAGAGTACTAATATCCCATCACTCTAGTTCAGTGACCCCCACCTCCTGACTTTGGTTCCCTTTCCCTTCCTTCTCCCGAAAAGGCCAAGACTAATGGAGAAACAATGTAAGATCAGTAAGTTCTGTCTGTCAAATCCCGCTGTTGTTTTTATATAAAATGTTTTCTATTTGAGGTGACTTAGTATGGTTTATCATGGTTATAGATAAATAATAGTGAAAACTCATAACATAGGCCTATCCTCTGATATGTATCTAGCATGTGTATCTATCTTGTAATTATAAAAAAAAATACATATTTTTAATGGAAGGGTCTCCATGTGACCTGCCCCCGTGGAGTCAACTGGTGCTTTTGGGAAATGATGCATTATGGAATATTTAGTTTGTCACCACCAGTGCCGGGTAAAGATAGATATTAGAGACAATTTGCACTGCACTAGGTAATTGTTACACATCTGATTTTTGCAAGGCTTCTCTGCTATTGTTGTGCACTGGTGGACATTAAGTACGTCACATATAACTTTATGTTTTTACACTGCCTGATAATTTTGTGTACTTGTCCTTACTCTCCTTGCCACTAATTTTCTAATTGAATTTGTCCAATATCCCTGAGCAGATGGCCCTTGTTTAGTCACTGGACACCAATCAGGCTGGATCAAAGCGAGTTTCCTTCCACAAGAAGTAAACATTCGTTTGTTTAACATTTTTTCAACAAAGCATGCTTATATTTATTAGGCTTTTAGTCCTGCTTCCAAATTAAATGGTTTTACAGAGCCTATCCAGTTCCAGAATGTTCAAGTATATCATGCAAATCTTCCTGTTCACAAGGCCTGAATTTATTCCTCTTCTGCTAATTTGTCTGAAAAAGTATCTCTGGAGGAAAAGGTGTGAGAGTATGAATAAGTGACAAAGCAGAGAATATAATACTCTAGGTTAATTGTGCTTTCCGACCCAGTTCTGTATTCATCCCTGCTCATTTAGGGAGCCATTGCTGTATGTGCTTAGTGCTAAGGTTAACGGTTTTGATAGCAGTTAGCTCGTGATGAGAAGTTTGGTTTGCTCAGTCATTTGTTAGCCTATGGTTAGCCAAAGTGTTTCTAGAAGAATAGAGTAGAAAGATGTATTTGAAGTAGAGAACGTTTTTCAGCACAAAGAAAAATGACCCTTATGTAAAGCTTGTACTATGTACATGGTTTATTATGATTTGGTGTATCAAAAAAAATATCTCTGAATGCACATACATAGATATTGTCAAGAAACTGCTGCATTACAAGTTATAGATTGTAGAAAACTTGTACCTTGCTTTTCTATGGACATCTTTATTTTGGTGTAGACATTCTCAGAAGCTTTGTGCTCAATAGTGAGCACTGGAAATACTCAGGGGATCTTATGTAGTATTGAGAATCAAACTGAGGTTAGCAGCCTGCAAAGCTAGTGCCTCATCCCCTGTACCATCTTGCCAGCTCGCTGGAGTCCTTTTATGCTCAGGTTCTATCTAGAATCGGTAGCTTCAGAAGGTACCAGCACAACAAAATAGAACAACACATGTGTATGTAATTAACGTTGTTTTTCCTAATTCAAAGGGTCCAGTTCTCTTTTCCTTTGGGGCTGGAGCAATAGCACAGCGGGTAGGGCGTTTGCCTTACAAGCGGCCAACATGGCCAACCCGAGTTCAATTCCTCCGCCCCTCTCAGAGAGCCTGGCAAGCTACCGAGAGTATCTCACCTGCACGGCAAAGCCTGGCAAGCTCCCCATGGTGTATTCGATATGCCAAACACAGTAACAATTGTCACAATGGAGTAAAACTCCAATAAATAAATATATCTAAGACTTTAGAACTTTTAAAGTGTCTCCCAGTTCATTAGATTTGTAAACTCTTCCCTAGGTTTTCAGACATTTCAAGTTTCAAATTGGTTTGTTTTCCACTCACCCTAAAGCAGAAGATAGTGGATGCGTTACTCCGTATGCAAATGTTTTAGGAATTTTGATGTACAAAATATTCAACCACAAACTTAATTACATGGAGTGGCATTTAAAGAAGAAAGTGTTATACACATAATTGATTGTGAAAGCATTCATTAGTCACTGTCACTGTTCTCCCGTTGTTCATCGATTTGCTTGAGCGAGTCCAATAACGTCTCCATTGGAGACTTTGTTGTTACTGTGTCTGGCATATCGAATACGTCACGGGGAGCTTGCCAGGCTCTGCCATGCGGGCGAGATACTCTCGGTAGCTTGCCAGGCTCTCCGAGAGGGGCGGAAGAATCGAACTCGGGTCGGCCGGGTTGGCTGCGTGCAAGGCAAACGCCCTACCACTGTGCTATCGCTCCAGCCCATGAAAGCATATGTATATCAAATATTTAGCCAAACACTCTGATGCTTTTGAGGGTCTTTATCCTTTTGAAGCACATTTCAAGTTTAGTGTGAAAAAAAAAATGAATACATATGAGTCTCTGATACATGTTTCAACTCCACATTGGTTGTTACTTTTTCTTGGATCATTGTTCATATCTGCACTACAACCACACGAGAAAAGCCATGGGTATGGTTTCAATTTTTATATTTTCCCCATGTAATTTATCTGCAGTAACAGAAGGACCATGTTAACATCACTTTACAGTTTGAACAATTTTGCTTGTCATTGTAACTTACTGCCAGAACCACATTTCTTTATACTATTGCTTTTCTCTATCTGCATTTAATTCCATGTCAGTACTAGTAACATTTGATTACTCATGATTCCTTACTTTTCTATGAATTAACTATGCTTCAGATTACTCTGTAAATGCAACTATTATATCATAGAGAGATGCAAAAATATATATGCATATATGTAAATATATAAATGTATATATATATATATATATCAGAGGAGAAAGAGTAAAAACTCACCAACCTGATCTTGAAATCTAATTTGATTGTATCTTTTCTGAAATTTGATATTAATCATTATATCATGAAGGGTCTCAAGTGGAAAAACTTGGCAAATTCAATAATTTAAAGAGGTTATTTTTAATAAATATTTAGGGAGGTGGAAATATAGGTTGCTGTAAAGGGCAAAGAGATAATATAAAATATAGTAACCATGCCATTATAACCATAGAAGACAAAACAGGAAAAAACTGTGCAGAGGATCCAGGAGTAATCACATCATGTAAAACCCACAGAAAGCTGGAGGTAACATTTTTGATGACATCAGGTGTTTTTCTTTTTTTTTTAGAGTACCCTGATATTTATTTTCTATAATGTTGCCAAATGTAGCTTAGGTTAATTTATGGATTAAAAGCAAATGTAGAAAAGTCGATAGTGGATGTAGGGTATTATGAAAGTTATTCAGGATATCCCTTATTTTATTTTCTTTAGGGCATTAAATAGTTTACTAAACCTAGCGGGTATTCCACAAGTTAGATAATGAGAAGATGGGAATATATTTGAATACAAATGTGAATGAATGGTGACATTAATATGGATCCACGCCACATTTCAGTCTTGGGTTATTATTCTCTTTCTTTTTGTCCCACTAGTGCTTTTATCTGCTCTGTTCACATTGCTGACAGTCAATTAATCCTGCTTTCATTGCTTCATTCTCCTTTTATTTTTCATCTGCTTTCATTGCAATTAAAAAGGTAATCCGAGAATGCTCAGTAAAGTTAAAATTCCAAAACACTGACTAGGAAAATATTACACACACACGGACACACACACACACACACACACACGCACACGGACACACACACACAAACACATACACACATACACACATTAGAATTTCAAGGACAGATATCTGTGGGTCATTGAGCCCACATCTCTACTACTCTACGGTTTGTTTCAATTAACTCATTTATTCTAGAGGAAATTCTGCATTCTCACATCGCCCACTGGTGGTCGCCAGATGGAGAAAGGCTTGCCTTCCTGATGATAAATGATTCGTTGGTACCAAACATGGTTGTTCCTCGGTTTACTGGAGCATTGTATCCCAAAGGAAAGCAGTATCCATACCCTAAGGTAAGCAATGTGGAAGTGCTAGTTTGTCCCCTCTCTTTCTGCAACAGTGGCTTGATTGATAGTACTTTTCGCTCATGAAACAGTTGTTCTTGGAGAAAATGGAGCTCTCCTTCCTTGCGACTGACTCATCCCTTTAGAACTTACAACGCTGTACTGGTTGTCTCAGAATAGGGAAAGCTTATTTGGAGACAAGAAAACATTCGTTTTTCCTGCATGCATTGATATTTTCATTCATATTTATCTTACCTTCCCAGCGATAAAAAGATGAGAAGAGATGTAAGTTAGTGCTGGTCAAAGATTTCTCCAAAACGTGGTCTATTTGTTCATATTTGTTATCATCTATTTATTAATAGAGGCTACACCCAAAAATAAACACCCAGGTTAAATTGCAATCGCAGAATAAAAGTAAATAACTAGCTTCTTTCAAATGTATGAAGTTAAAAATTCTAGTTTCCTTCAGAATATTTCTTAGAGCACTTAACACACTACATGATAATGTGTATTATAAATCTTCTATAAAAATTGACTAAGCATTAAGAATCCTCTCTAAGAAACAGACTATGCATTAAAAAGCACCAATAAAGAACAGAGTAAGCACAAAATTTATTAGTGTTAGTATCAGTATTATTTTGGCAAAGCCTTCTCTGAAATATACTTTATTAAATGTGGGGGATGAGCCATACCCGTGCACAGCTAAGAGAGATGGAATTGTTTTATTCAGTGAAGCAAAAGTGAAAATCCTGCCTAGAGAGGGAAATTATTTTCAATTGTTGGACAAGGCCACTAGTAACTGGTTCTGAAAATATCCAGTGTACACTCTTTTTCCTATAATATGATATTTCTGATTACATATCAGGTCTATTTTCAAAAACCCCTCACCCCCTGCTCCCATTTAGAGTACAAATAAAACGTGTTGAGGGCTCTGTGCATTAATCATATAAATATATTTTATAGGAAACTTTCAAAACATCACTTTATACAACGAAGCTCTTATTTGTGTAAGAGAAGGCTAGTGATTGCATTTAGAAGTTGTTTTGAAGACTTTCCATTAGAGAGTTGCTCTTTCTATTCCCCAAGCACATTAAGTTTATATGATTCAATTTAAGCACTAAAGTAACTGGGCAAGGTACTTGGGCTGATCATCACATGTGTTATACTGTCCCTGCAATTAAAGCTTGATCAGGGTAGCAATGGGATCACACATACTTGATAAAATGTTTTTTGTATTCCACCAGATTCCAGTTTTTCAAAGGCAGAGGAAACAATGTAGAGAGTCCAGAATAAATGTTCTCTCAGTGTGATTCTGAGCTGTTCTCCTATAAATTCTAATATGAAATGAACTTGGTTTTGAAATATTATGTTTTGGATCTACATTGGACATGAATTATAAAATAGACTCAGTTCTCTAAAGAAAATAGTAATTTAGCTGGATCATAAATAATCATATTTTTCAAAGAAATATTAATATACTGCAATAAAAATAACTATGACTTTCTTCATAAAAATTTAGCCAGGCTTTAGGAATTACATTTTGCCTCTGATTTTTTCTATACCCACTTTTTCCATAGAAATTTGAAAATGATTTTTCAAATGTTTTAAGAGTCATATTGCCTTTAAGATTAATTTATGATAATTAAATTTAACCTGACAGTTTAAATGCCAAAGTAGCAGGTGGTGAAAAACTTTGTGAATAGATAGGATATCCACACACAACTGTTTAGCTTCTTCTCTGGACAAATGGAAAGAAAATCACTCCAGGAAAAGGACAACATTTTACACTTTCCCAAGAGGTTTGAGGATATTACAATTCATGCATAGTAGTCATACACAGTAGAGCTTCAAAGTGCCTTTTAAATTATGGGCTCACAGTTGAGTCTTAGTAAGGCTTGGACAAATGAATGGACGAATAGGAACATCTCAGAAAGTTTAGATACTTCAACAGTGATTCAAAGGATATTAGATCAAATCTAGATACTTTGTTTTACTTAATCAATTTTTATTCAACCAGTTAATATGTCTTACTAGAGATAGACGTAAGCTTATGATCATGTTTGTTAGTTAAAAAAATAGTATGCTAATAACACGCACGAAAAAATGTTCTCACTTTTTCTTTTGATTTTTTTTTTCACAAATACCTCTATTTAACAAATGGAAAATCAGGGCTTTAAAGGGTTAAAAGCATTTATAAATATCACAGTTATTTTAACAGTGGGGAAGGGGGAAAGTTCATATTACTAATATGTTTATTTTGAATCTCTCAATAAAACTTCTAGAATTTGACTTGGATCTCAGAAGACATGGGTGGAGTCAAAGTGTCTCTCTGTACAATGAACAAATACAATGAACAAATCAGTTATATTTAAAGCTAATGCTTAAATAAATTTGGATTATGTTGTTAGATAGCCTATCAGTGCCACATATGAGTGAGCAACATTTGATGATGGACCTGACTTATGACTACTATTGAAGAATAATGGAAATAAAGATAAGTTATCCTGTAGACTAAAAAAAAAAAAAAAACCAAAAAAAAACAGAGACTCACAAATCCTCAGCTGGTATCAGCAAGATAGTACTCAAAAATTAGTTTTAATTTATTCTTGATGATATTTCAGTTGGTGGTCACACCCACCAACTGGCCCCCTGGTGCCGTGTAATCCCATCAACGGCCAAGACTCAGAGACTATAAAAACCAGCTCCCGGAACCGACATCTTATTATGACATCTTAATATTTCATTCCTACTTTGGACAAACTGGCAGGCTACCGAATGTAGCCTGCCCACATGGCAGATCTGGCAAACTCCCCTTGGCGTACCCAATATGCCAAATACCAGTAACAATGATGGGTCTCATTCTCCTAAAGAGCCTTGAATATAATCTCAAGGCTAGGATGAAGGAGACATTACTGGGGCCTGCTCGAGGCAATCGACGAATAACAGGATGATTTGTGATTTTTGATGATATTTCATTATATTTTTCAATATATTTTATGAAACATCAATGTATTTTGGGTATACTATTTGAATTTTCAAACTATATTTTCTACCTGATTTTTTAAAATAAATGTCTATAATGTCTCATTAACAAATATATCATTTTGATTTGTTTTCTTACTCAGGTTATAAACTTTCTAAACTTCAGATACTCAAGTGATAAAAACAGTTCAAACTAAATTGTGCTTCAAATTAAAATAAAATGAAAACTAGTGCATAAAATGCTCAATGTGGTCAGATCTATTAATGAAAATACTTACACTAAATAAATAGATTTGTATTTTACTTAATTCAGCATGATTCAGAACTCATAAAACACCCTATCATTAGCAATTCAGCACAAAAGAGCTACATAGTTCTATCTCAGTAACCTCAGGTTAATCTTCTTAATTAAAACATTATCTTGTTTAATGACAATTTAGTTGCCAGTAAAATAGGTTAATTATATTAAAGCTTGTATTTCAGAATCATAGAAGGATTCTGTGAATTTGCGGTCTTTTTGCAAATGTGATTGTAAAAAACAAGTAGATGAACTCCCTTAATTTGCATAGTATTTAACATATTAGAAACACATTAGAAGGTAGAAATGTATTTGCAATGTGCAAAAACTCCATGAAAATATAAAACAATCTGATTGTGATGATGGAGTACTGAAAAATTACTTTTTGAAACAGCCTTATTTTATTGTTTTACACATTTTGTTTATAGTTTGCTACTAATATATACAACTTTTATTTTCATGTAGAAAATAATAAATACAACAATTATACTGGAACATGCAAAAATTTACAGTACTATAGACATGAAAGGAACTCTCTTCAAAGATGATAATAATAATGTATGTTTTGATGAAGTGCATCATAAAATTATGTATCATTGACAAAAATTTACAAATGTCAATTTTAATTTCTTTATCTTTAAACAAAAACGCATTTTTTTCACTTAGAGTTAATATTGCAATAACATATTTTAGTTAATTTATTCTACTACTTTGGCCCATTATATAACTTTTTGCTAGCCTTAAAGCATAATTTTGAGATTTTTTTCTACAGAAATAAATTTCTACGTTGAACAAAATTTTTGACTTGTAATATATTTACAAAGAAGTGTCTGTCTTATCATTTTAGAAACAAAATATTTTTTAGTATTCTATCCTTGGTTCAAGTCAAAGAAATAGTCAAAATTTGAATCCAAATTTCTTTGATTCACAGATTAAGTCAATATACACCTAAAAATATACTTCTAAATATACTTCTCTTATGAGCATATAACCTTGTCTGAGAAAGTTCCAAAATTCTCATATCCCAGCCAAACTCAAGAAATGCTAGAGGTGACCTTTTATCAAAAAACAAGCCTGTGACTAAATATAACAACTTTCACATTTAAAAGTCTGATTTTTTTTTCTCATCATTTTAACATCGGAGATCTGTTTCCTAACCAATTTCAACTCTAGAATTATATCACCAGACGTGGCTTTTGTTTAACAAACAAACAAAACAAACACTGTCCTCCCGTTTTTCATCGATTTGCTCGAGCGGGCCCAGTAATGTCCCCATTTTTGAGACTTGTTGTTACTGTGTTTGGCATATGGAATCACCAGAAGCTTGCCAGGCTCTGCCGTGTGGGCGAGATACTCTCAGTAGCTTGCTAGGCTCTCCGAGAGGGGTGGAGGAATAGAACCCTGCTCGGCCAAGCTGGCTGCAGGCAAGGCAAACACCCTACCGCTGTGCAATCGCTCCAGCCCTTGTCTAACATTAAAATAAATCAATTAAAAGAAATTGAAACAAACAAAGCTCACTAAAGCTCCTCTCTCTCTCTCTCTCTCTCTCTCTCTCTCTCTCTCTCTCTCTCTCTCTCTCTCTCCATACGCAGCACTGATGACAATAACAGCAATAACAAAAATCCATACTTAGAACTATCTGGAAATCTTGCCACAGATCGCCTTTATTGGGGATGTGGAGTGGAAGCAGCAGGGTTTGGTCTACCTGCCAGGGTGCTCAGGGCTTTCTCCTGGTTCTGTGTTCAGGGTTCATTCCTACTGGTACTTAGAGAACCATTTATGGTGCCACAGATGGAACCAAGTGGGTTGTGGGCAATTCAGTGCTTTACCTGGTTCTGTCTCTCCAGATATTGTCAGGACTCTGATTCTTCCTAAATATAGGTCTAGGTGGGACCCAACTATTTGTGGTGGTTTAATAAAAATAAGAGTATTGGGGCTGGAGTGATAGCACAGCAGGTAGGGCGTTTGCCTTGCACGCAGCCAACATGGTCGACATAGGTTCGATTCCCAGCATCCCATATGGTTCCCCGAGCACCGCTAGGGGTGATTCCTGAGTGCATGATCTAGGATCAACCCCTGAGCATCACTGGGTGTGACCCAAAAAACAAAACAAACAAACAAAAAAAAGAGTATTGTGAAAAGGAACTCCTAAGTGGAACAAAGCTAATTTACCCAGACAAATGTACCTAACTTTTGAGGGTTTTGGAGCAATGAAAAGATTTATAAAATCTGACACCAGAGCCTCCTCTCTAAGGTTAACAGAGATATTGAATGAAAGGTGCAGAGATTTGCCAAGCATTCCCCAACTGCATACATATATAGTGACCCCATTCTCAACATACTGTACTAAAATCGTGCCTTTAATACAACTAATAAAATTACTGTATATTGACATCATCATCTGAAATTCACAGTTTACACACACACACATACACATACTTGATATATTATTTGGGTTTTAACAACTATAGAATGGCCCAAAGACACTTTTTCTGTCTTAAAAATCCTCCACATTCAACCCATTCATTTTTATGTCTTCCATTTCATTCCATTCACTTTGAATAATATGGCAAAATAATTCTTGAAGCACTATTATTGCCTATAGTTTCAAGCCCTGATTCAACTATGGGTCTTGTGTCTTGTCAACACTAGTCCCTTGAATCCAGATCTTTCTTCGCCATCATTATTTTTTTCTCTTTAGAGTTCTGTTCTTCTAATTAAGAACTACTTTTCTTATGCATTCTGTGTATTTCATATGGGTTCCACTTTAAGCACCAGCCATACTATGATGACCTGCAGACATACAATAAACCACAAGTAAACCACTAATTCTGTACATCACTTTATCTGGTAAATATTTTTGCATGTATTTATGTGAAGTTTGATACATGCTGTTATAATTCTGATTTATGCTGCCTACTTGCTCAAAGAATATTTAGAAAACTTTTGGAGGGCATTGCCTTGGGAAGAACTGTAACAAAATGATAAAATTATGAGCACCTGTCTTTTAAATCCTGGCTCCTTTGTTATTGAACATTCACTTTCATGGTTTGCTTTGCCTCTTTATTTCAATCTGGAAAATGGCTCTAATTATATTTTAGGACTGTAGTAGGGACATTTACTAAGATATGAAATACCTTTTGATTTATATTGTAAATCAAAAACATGATGCACTAGAGGCTGAATATTATTTTATAAAATTTGATGTAGAAAATTCAAATAATATGTTTTTACCATTGTCTCTTCTGTCTTTATGTTAAGTATTTACAACAACTCCATGACTCACTTCCCAGAAGTCACTTATTTACCATCTAGTGTTCACTAAATTTTAAATGAAAACCAAAGGTGATTAGTATAATGAGATAAAGGAGATATTGTGGAATTTTAAGCATGTGGTAGCTGGACTGCGGTTTTCTTTATCTTTATTCTTCTTTGTTTTCCTTTGTACTTAGCAAATTTACTTCATAGCATTTCCTATCCTGATATGTGAGTAACTTTTCATCTACTAGTTGTTTTATATAACCAGAGCTTATGGTTCCTATTATTCTAAGAACACAGTATCACTGCCTAACAAATAAAATCATCATGATTTTCTATCACCTTTAATTGTCTGCCTAAGATGTTTGAGAAGCAGCAATTTCCAAAAACAATTGAAAGCAATCAAGTTGTTGAATTTAAAATCATTTTTACCTTAGAGAAATCAAACTATTCCTATTCTAATTCAAATTGTAATGAATCAAAATGTGTTTTCTATTATTCTTAATGTATTTATTGCTTAATGTATTTGCATTATAACTTTCATTTTCTCAAAGGCAGGTCAAGTGAACCCAACAGTCAAATTATATGTTGTAAATCTATATGGACCAACTCATACTTTGGAACTTATGCCACCTGATAGTTTTAAATCAAGGTAAGCAATTTCAATTTCACTTTTACTGGGAAATAGATATTTTAACTATAATTATCATTTCTTGCAATTTAGAGAGAGATGTGATCACTTCAATATCCACATTAAAATAAAGCTGGGGTTGACTCCATTAGTGCAGGAATGAAATCATTCCGGGTCTCTTGTTCTTAAGAAGCACTTAAAGTTTCAAGATGATTAGCAGCATAACAGAATTTCTAAAAATACTAATATTAAGAATTATACCTATTTTGCGGAGAAGGTGGAAAATAATTTGCCACTGGATGTTCTTCCTGCAAATACTCATTTTATATTATAAAAATAACTTCTTTTAAAAAAGATAATATATCTAAAATTTCTGTAACTTTTTTTCAGGATTTCTTTCCTTCACATAGCTTGTTAAAAATTCTCTAGCTTATTTTATAAGATAGGGGAAGTTAACTAGATATTATTTTCAATTGCCAACATAAAAGTCATTTTATTTATGAAGTTTAAGTTGAATTTTTTATAGAAGCAGTCTATTTTTTAACATTAGTGAGATTTCTATTAGTGAACACCTAATCAAGATAACCATGTCAATTTTGGCATCCAAACTGGAAATCAGAATCTAAAGTTGAAGCTCTTAAATGAGACAATCCTTTAAAAATTTTAAGTGGTCTCAGATAGACATTTGAATAGCTTATTTATAAAAATAGGTCCACTCTTAGCAGTGATAAAATGCTAAGTTCAGTATTTGAAGACTATATATATGTGTGTGTTTGTGTTGTGTCTGTGTTTTTGAGTGTGTTTTTGTATGTGATTTTGTGTCTATGTTTCCAGTGACATCAACAATCAATTAGTACTAAAGAAATTAAACAAGTCCATGGGCTGGAGCGATAGCACAGTGGTAGGGTGTTTGCCTTGCACGCAGCCAACATGGCCAACCCGAGTTTGATTCCTCCACCCCTCTCGGAGAGCCCGGCAAGCTACCGAGAGTATCTCGCCCACACGGCAGAGCCTGGCAAGCCATCCGTGATGTATTCGATATGCCAAACACAGTAACAACAAAATCTCCAATGGAGACGTTACTGGGCCCACTCGAGCAAATCGATGAACAACGGGAGGGCCTTTACCCAGCTATTAATCCATTGGTGTATTAGTAAAGTTTTCATCACATTGGGGGTTCTTACAGATAGTACAGTTTTCTGTGTATGAAAAAGATTACTACTTAAAAAGCTAATACAAATTTACGGTATGCTGACACTGGAAAGGAGTTCTTTAAATACCTACTATATAGGTTTTTTACCCTATGCAAAAGTTCTCTCTTGAACATGTTTCACTTTTTCTCCTCTCAAACTTCTCTATAAATGGAGGTGAATTTCTTTTAATTAAACATATAAGCAAATACCTCATATAAACTGCCATTTTACTGGTGGAAAAGTAAACCCAAAAAAGGAAAAAAAATGTCAATAGAACTTAAGGAGTACTTATCTCCATAGACACAAAATGAGGTATAACGTCTTTCAAAGTAAAAATTTATTCAGGTGGTTTTGAAAGACTTTCTAGGGTCATCAAGACCGAAACACAGACATACACACATGCACATACACACACACACACACACACACACACACACACACACAGAGAAGTACATAGTAAGCAATTTTGAAAAGTATTGTGTTCTCTTACTTTGTTTTCCCAGGGTTTATACCTGTGGTGCTGGAGAGCTGCTTCAGGCTCTGGGCTTGTAGTCACACCTGGCTATTCTCAAGGGACTTTGTGATATCTGGTATCAAATCAGGCTTCTTGTATGTATCTCTTGTACTCAGTCCTTTGAGCTATCTCTTCAGCCCAGTGATTATGATTCTTGACTCTTTTATTTTCTTCAATTTGTTTAATGCTCTCAATTTGTAATATATGGCATTAGACTTGAAGTGTTGTATCATATCTATGTCAACATTTATTACACAACCTTGGACAGGTCACTCTACCTCTTTCTGAGCCTGAATACTATAGTTTTAAAACAGTACTTTCTAATTTTAAAGAGTGTTTTAAGGTACCAAAGAGATACAACAGTAAGTAGGGTGCTTTCTTGCATGCAGCTGACCCTGGTTTTATATCCAGTTTGAGCACATTCGGTCCCCCGAATATCACAAAGGGACACTCCTGAGCATACAGCCAGGAACAGTCCCTTAACATCTCCAGGTATGGCTGCACATCCCCTATATACAAATAAAATTAAAATTTATTATTATTATTTGGCTTGGGGATCAGCCACACATGGTGGTCCAGGTGCTCAGGTTGTATTCCTGACTCTATATACAGGAATCACTCATAAGTGTGCTCAAGGGACCTTATGTGGTGTGAGGGATCAGCCATGTGCAAGACAAGTGCTCTACCATTTTAACTATCTTTCCAGTTCTAAAATTATAGGAAAACATGTGAAATGAAAGTCAATTTCATAATATCTAGTTTCTTTGTTATGTGAATTAGGGCATCGGGTCTTGATTTTATATACTAATGGATTTCTAATGGGTTTACCAGTAGGCTATAACAGAATATTATTAAATTACATCTGTAAAAAGTGAAAATTAATCTTTGAGTATAGGAGTGTATATGTTTATTTCATATTTCAGATAGAACATGATAAAATTAATCACTCAACATAGTCACACATTGCAGATATAAATATAACATCAATTAAATTCGAAGAGGAGTCTAAGAATAACACTGCATCCCATTGTGAGTGAGGAAGAGTGTGCTGTGAAAGAAAACCCCTTAAATGTATCTAAGGAATGTTGATTTGGTAATAAACTTGGCCTTTAATTTAGGGGAAATCAATCATAACTTATTTAAATGATATTTTTTAGAATTTTATATATAATCTATCATGATCTTAAATAAATGCTGACTGTAGTATGTGAAAGGTACCAAAACATAGGTCATGCTATTTGGGGGTGAGGGGAACTAAGAAAAAATATTTTTGTTATATCCAAATATTATTCTTTTTTCGATTTTATAAAAAGGGAATTAATGATAATAATAATATGGGCACATTTTTGAGAAAGCTCACTAAGATGAAGATGCCAGAGAGTCGATGCAAGAAAAATGATGCAAGAAATGATGCAGGAGAGTTGCAAGAACAGAAAGAGATTACTACCTAAGGAGTTTCAGAGAAAGGGTCATCACATAGAAACTGTAAGAGACTTGCAGCTAAAGAATAGAATATACCAGTAGGACACTGGACAATAGATTGAATCTCTTACTCATTGCTAAACCATGTCTAAGAGGGACCGGGGTCCAAGAATGAATACCCAGATTGCACAATCCTCAAACTTTGAATTCTTCCCAACGTCTTATGTTAGCAAGGCACTCTCACTTCAGAGTCCTTCTAACTGGAAAGTTGTATTGGATAGGAGCTGGAAAGGTTGTACAAATCTTAGGTGAATCCCTGTTTGATCAGAACACTGCAAGAGTGATCCCTGAGCTCAGAGGCGGTAACTCTGAGCACTAAAGAGTGTGTTCCAATCCTAAAAATGTAAAGATGTGTTGGAGAATCAATCTGGCAAGGAGAAAATATTCAACAAAAATACCTTAGTGATGTTTGTCCTAGAAAGTTACCGTTGCTGTAGTTTTAGAGATTTGCTGGAGTTATGCACAAGAACTCTCATGATTGTTCTGAAAATGTATTCTCTTAACTGGGTTTTATTTTGTTTCTTTCTATTTCTGGGCTCTGTGTTTGTCTTAGGTAAAAAACTATGCATGCAAGAGGTTGTGTGTCCGCGGGCTCTCTGGACGGCTCTGTCTCACCACCCATGTTCGGTGCTCTAGAGTTGCTGTGTGTGGCCTGGAAAGGACGGCTGTTGGCCAAGGACAGTCAAAGGAAGAGACGAGGGCCAGGCTGGTTGATCTTAGTAGCAGTTTATTACAAGGAAGTTTATCCCATAGAAGAAATTTATGTTATGGAGGGCCTAGGTTCTCTCAAGCATGTGTTCCCCTTGCTAGTATCTCCGAGTTCTATCTTGTAGCCCTGCTCTCTCTCTCTCTCTCTCTCTCTCTCTCTCTCTCTCTCTCTCTCTCTCTTTCCAGGTCTCTTGTCTCTCCACTCTCCTCTCCAATTGCATCTAGTCTGGGCTGACACTCCACCCAGTCAGGTAGCCAAATCAACATAAGAAACCCTTCCTGACTGCCCCAGCCAAAATACCTCCTTTAGGTGTTTTTCTCTTTTCCTCAGTCCAATAAACTATCAATAAACTATCAACTATCAACTATTCCTGAGGCTATGCAAGAAGGACAGAACAGTGTTATCCTACAGTCTTTTGTGTGTGTGTGTGTGTGTGTGTGTGTGTGTGTGTGCATGCTAGTATGTGTTTTGTTTTAATCTCTCACCTTTCTCTCACACACAATCTACTCTTCATGTTTTCCCCGAAAATCTGTCATTTTTAAAAAAATTTTTATTGTGAATTTTGTGATTGACAGTATTTTAAAATTCTTTGAATTAGTGGATATTTGACAAGGATTTTGCTCATGATAAAAATTGTATCCATTTGTCTTATTTTACTTTAACTTTATTTTTTTGCCATTTTACACTTTAATTTTTTTAAGATAATCCATTCGATTTTTGAAAAGTCACATATATATAATGTATATATGTAAATATGGAGAATAAATTTTGACTTCCAGTATTTTTAGCAGTACTCACAATTGTATTGGTGGTAATATCCCATACCACCCTGAACGCGCCCGATCTCGTCTGATCTCGAATATCCCATAAATTAAAAAAAAAATACCAAGACATTTTCATTTTTACAACATAAAGGCAAACAAACATTTATAAATAGCATGCATTTTCCATACCTTATTAATTCCATCAAATGCTCTCTTCTTTTGAAAGTTCCTGTATCACTTGAGATACCTCTTAATCTCTTATTAACAAAAAAACCCAAATGACTAATTTCAATATAATTTACTCTATTTTTGTATACTATCTAAGTATGTTCAATTTTTTATTACCTTTAGGTGCTGTAGGATATCAATTCATAACCAAAACATTTAACCACTTGGTTAAATTATAAACCATATTTGTTCTGTTTTTGATATTTCTTATGCCACTAATCATAAGTTATTCCATACATAGCATTTCCAAATTAATGTTAATGACTCATATTGTTAATAAATAATTAGATATAAGTGATAACATGAGTATAGAAAGACAACTCCTTAGGATTTGAAATAACTTAGAGTACATGCTGTTCCATACCACAGAGATTTATCTTGAATCTGAGTTCAGGCATTTGCCTATTGATATTTTGTTTATATATTAATTCATGATTAACAAGAAAATAGGGACTGAAGAGATAATACAGTGAGGGCTTTGCAAGTGGCTGGCCCAAGTTCAATCCTTGGCATTGCATTGGTTCCCGAAGAACCAACCCCCTACACACAGAGATGAGAGTAAGCTCTGGCCATACTCACTTGTGACACCACATATAAAAAATAAAACAAATCAAAACAAAACAAAACTAAGAAATAAATCTAAATGTGTGTTCATTGGAATTAAAATGTTTTTAAAAAGATAAGGCAGTTTAATAAAAGGCAGTTTAATATTTCTTTTCCAACACCCTCTTATTCAAGACAAAGTTGTGATTTATCTAAAGTTAAACAAATAAAGATTATAAATACCATTTTTCACCAACAGATGTTTGTTTCATTCTTTTTTATCACTATTTTAATTATAATCTGTTTTGATCTTTCATAACATGGTATGGTAGGACTAAAATAATGTCTCCTTTTGACTTCCCTTAGGCCCAGCAGGAGTTCGATGGCTCACTTAATCTTAAATGGGAGAACATCTTTTGCAAAGTATTACACTGTAAATTTAAGTCATTGTAGACATTCAGTTCTTTTGTTAGAAAATTGGGTCTTAATTTTAGACTATACAGTTAAATGCTAGTGAAAAAATTGTTAGATAATGAATTATGCTGATTTTTTTTTACAAGCTAGGCAACTGATACATCATCATTCTAGAGTAGTGATTATCCTTTGTCTTTAGAATCTCTGTGCTGGAAAGCAACTACTTCCTCACTATTTCTGACAGAACTGTGTCCATTTGAAATCTACCTTTCAAATTGATAGTGTTCAGTCATCTACCTTTTGTAAGCCATTACTCCAGCCTGTAACACCATATCCTTCTCACCTTGCAGCTGACTCTGCTATGCTGTTTTTCTTACTTCATAAAAGTAGGCCTAGCCTGTATTTAAATCTCCCAAGAAATACCTGTGTCTTCCAAGAAAATGCAGTGAAGACCTTTATTTGTGTTTGTCGAAGTGTCCTAAATGACACTTCTGAAATGCATAGTGTTTTAACAAAGAGATCCTGAATTATCTGAAAGAGATGAGCTCAGAACACACACACACACACACACACACACACACACACACAGTGATTTTGTTGTGGAAAAAGAGTAAGGTTATTCAGCCAAAAAGTTAATGAAAAACTCATGTCATTTGTGCCATCCCTATTTTTACCTATTTGTTTTGGATGCTGAACCCTTCATTCGGCATGCCCTTGTGAACAGTTAGATCTCCTGTGCCAGACCACCAGTGGACAAAAAGTCTTTCTTGACTTTAGTGCGATCCCTCTAACCTGCTTGTCTCTCTGTGGCTCAAGAGTACCAGATCCTCGAGGACTTCCTGGGTACTCCAGAGCCATGGAGACTAGGAACAAGCAGGAAATCCAATTTTAAGGAGGGGACACTTTCGCTGGCTACTGGTCCCGGGACAGCAGATCTAATGTGTTCATGAGATGGAATTCCAGGAGAACAGACAAATCTGCATCAGGCAGGCCAAGGCGTATGACATTTCCAGGTAAGGGTACTTTCTATATCCTCATCAGAGGAAGCCCAAATATTTGAGCAATGCAGACAAGCTTATGTGAATAAAAAGATATATGCACAGAGAATATTAGACAAGGGAAGAAAGAATCAGGTTATGTTAGTAACTATCCCATTTCTCCCTTCTTGTGTGTCAAGCAGCACTACTTTAAGCATTACATGGAATACTTTCAACAATTTTACAAAAAATTTTAGTGGTTTGAAGTTGTCCGGGAAGATTTTGTAAAATCAATTTAGGAACAACTCTTATCTCTAAAATGATAAATAAGATACGTATTTAGATATATAAGACAAATTTTCTCTAAACATGACACTGGACAAACACAGAAATAATCACATCATTTAACCAAATATAAAACTAACTGGTTAGCTATAAATGGATGATGTTAATTATATAACTAGGTTACTGTTTATCCTCCCACTTAGGACAACATATAATATTACTTAAGTTAATTGAACTGATTTTTATTAAATTGAAATTCTTCTATTTGACTATTGTATATACATGTCTCAATATGTGTTCCCTTTTCCATTGTTTGGTACAGGTTTTTTAATAATCAATATTTTACTTTAGTTTGCTTTATGAAAATTAATCAATTAATCATAAATATATATTGTCAGAACTTAGCATTTATTTTTCTGATTTTATATTTCTTAATGTTAATTTTTTTCAATATCTTTTTCTCTAGATACATTAAAGGCGAATATCTATGTTACTACTTTTAATTTTTCAGTGTTAAATAATGATAATCTATGCAAATTTATCAGTTTAAGTAAAACAGAGTAAGAAAGTGAAGAGGGATTGTTAGTTACAGAATTGCATATCGCAGTTGTATATGGCCAAATATTAAGTCTAAACTAGTTGCTTAGTTTATTCAGAGTTGTCTTCTTGACTCTATTTAGGGAACTTTGTGTTATGGTTTCATTGAGTTTCTAGGCAATTTTCAAGTGAGACTAAGCTGGTTATGAAAGCTGCCAGATGTCGTGAAGAGATTGTTGAAGAAAAACATGGCAAGTTTTGCTGTAAGAAGTTATACTTGCCTTTCCACTAACATTTCCACTTCGATGAGCTAACATGTTTTCTAGAGAAAGCAAGGATGTTATATATATAATATTTGTGTAACTGAAGGTATCAGGAGGTGATTTGTGTCACAGGGTTTTCTTTCTGAAGTTCATTTTTCTCTGTTACATAGAAGTTGAGCATATTAGTTTTAAGTCACTGCTCAGAGATGCTAATTGTTAAGCTATTTTCAAAATACCTCATCTATTCAGAAACTAAGTAAATTTCATATCTATATATATATGCATTGTAAATTAAGTTTATATGTTGTACAGTGCTAATTGGGGATACTATAATATAAAACTTTCATACATATACACTATAAAAATATAAGCTAGAGAGAAAAATTATATAAACTTTCCTAGTCCACAATCTGTGGATATTTCAGACCTTCAAATTTGAAGTCTAACAATTACAAATTTTAGTGCCCCTTATCTCTTTAAGTTTGAATTTTAAAAATTATTTCAGCTATTTTTAAACTCAGTACTGTAATTAAATTACTACAAAGAAAAAAGTTAGGTTAACATTTATCCACAACTGACAAAGATTTGATCATATCACTAAGAGTGCTATAAACCAACTATTGATTGAAGACCAATAATATGGGGTTCATGCATACTCAATATTAACTATTAAAATTTGATGTGGTTGAATATTTTTTGGAAAAATAAACCAACATAATTTAGAAAAGTAATACTTTTTTTACTTAGGTTTAATCAGCAGGGGGCTGGAGTGATAGCACAGCGGGTAGGGCGTTCGCCTTACAAGCGGCCAACATGGCCGACCCGAGTTCGATTCCTCTGCCCCTCTCGGAGAGCCCGGCAAGCTACCGAGAGTATTCGATATGCCAGACACAGTAACAACAAAGTCTCCAATGGAGACGTTACTGGGCCCGCTCGAGCAAATCGACGATCAACGGGAGGGCCTTCTCTCACTCAATCAGCAGGGTTAAAAAAAATCACATATATTAAGTACCTTGATTTTTTTCCTTGATTTCTTTTCTTGTATATTGTTCATTTTCTAATTTGGTATCATTTTTTGTATTGTCATTTATGTGTATATATGTTTATGCACATTTGTTCTTGTATATGTTAATATTGGAAGCAGACATGTGTATGTAAGTGTGCATGAAATGGGTATCATAATATCTTTATAGTTTATGATTGCATATGGAATTTTAAAAGTACATTTCTTTGATTAGTATACGTGTTTTGTGTCACTAAGCATAAACTTCAATTTTGTTTCCACACTAGAGAATACTATATCACTATGGTCAAATGGGTGAGCAATACCAAGACGGTGGTGAGATGGTTAAACCGACCTCAGAACATCTCAGTCCTCACTGTCTGTGAGACCACAACAGGTGCTTGTAGTAGAGTGAGTATGACTCCTTACTTTATACCTAAAATTATAATTTATGCTATCTCTCAAAGAGAGATCAGCCAGCTTTAAACAAAGTTATAAGATAAAAGAAATTCCGTTGGGAATCTGTATTTTAATGTATAATCTATAATAATAATATAATAATAATAATAATAATAATCTATATAGCTTCCAAGATTTGAAGTGAGAAAAATGGTAAGTGGAAGAGAACAAACTAAACTTATGTTTAAAAATAGATTTTCGTGTACTATAAAGAATTATTCACTAGATTAATTTGCCAGTATGGGTCTTTATTTCTTTCTTTTTTTTTTTTTTGCTGGAGCGATAGCACAGCGGGTAGGTTGTTTGCCTTACAAGCGGCCAACATGGCCGACCCGAGTTCGATTCCTCCGCCCCTCTCGGAGAGCCCGGCAAGCTACCGAGAGTATTCGATATGCCAGACACAGTAACAACAAAGTCTCCAGTGGAGACGTTACTGGGCCCGCTCGAGCAAATCGACGATCAACGGGAGGGCCTTTAGGGGCTGGAGCGATAGCACAGCGGGTAGGGCGTTCGCCTTACAAGCGGCCAACATGGCCGACCCGAGTTCGATTCCTCCGCCCCTCTCGGAGAGCCCGGCAAGCTACCGAGAGTATTCGATATGCCAGACACAGTAACAACAAAGTCTCCAATGGAGACGTTACTGGGCCCGCTCGAGCAAATCGACGATCAATGGGAGGGCCTTTACTTTACTTTACTTACTTACTTATTCTAAAAGTTAACTAAATATTTTTTGAAAAATTTTTCTGGGTGGGGAGAGTAATATTAGAGCAGTTAGGGTGCTTGTCTTGCATGCAGCTGATCCATATTCTATCCCCTAGCACTCCTTATGGCCCCTGAGCCAACCGGGAGTGATCTATGATTGCAAAGCCAGGGGCACCATTGAGTGTGGCCCAGAAACCTAAATGAGTGAGTAAAATGAAAAACAAAAACAAACAGTTCTTGTGCTTTAAAAAGAAGTTTGTACTTTGATTTCTATAATTAGGTTTTATAAAGGTGGAGCGATAGGACAATGGGTAAGGTGTTTGCCTTGTACGCAGCCAACACGGCCGACCCGAGTTCGATTCCTCCGCCCCTCTCGGAGAGCCCGGCAAGCTACCGAGAGTATCTCGCCCGCACGGCAGAGCCTGGCAAGCTCCCCGTGACCTATTCGATATGCCAGACACAGTAACAACAAAGTCTCCAATGGAGACGTTACTGGGCCCGCTCAAGCAAATCGATGATCAACGGGAGGACAGTGCCAGTGACAGTGACAGGTTTTATAAATACTGAAATAAAATTTAAGTCTTGTTTAAGGTGTCTAATAGAGGAAATTCTGCAGTGATTTTTTTTTTGTTATATTGTGGCATTTGGTTAAACAATTTACAATTATTTAATAACAAATTTTTCCAACTTCTTTTTCTGTACATGACAAAATAAACATTGTCAAACTAGTGTGTCACTTACTGATATCTATAAAAATGCAATATTATATATTTGATAACCATTTCGATGTCAGGTAAGGGATGCATGCACAGATGCTGATACAAATTAGGTATACAATATGGATCAAACTGTGACCTCCTATTGGTGACACTTTCTAGACGGTCATGTAGTGTAAGATGCAAATACAACAGCCAGAGCAAACGCTGTAGAAGTTGGTCCTATAAAGAAAAAATGTCAGAAAGTTTCATATGAATCTCTTAAGTTTTTAACCCAAATTCTTATCTGTAATATGACACAGAAAAAATGGGGGAGCAACAAAGAGAACGTTTTTACATTTGCAGGCTGGGGAGATAGTACAGCATGTTGGACACTTGCCTTGCATGCAGCCAACCCAGGTCTGATCTCCAGCATCCCCATATGGTCCCCAAACACCACCAGGAGTGATTTCTGAGTGCAGAGCCAGAAATAACCCTTGGAAACCACCAGGTGTGGCTCAAAAAATAAACATTGCTTGAAAGGACTGAAGAGAAAATGAAACTGTAAGGCTGTCAGGGAATCAGAACCTGTTCAAAGTCAAATTTTAAAGCAAAATGTTTAAAAAGAGAAGAAGGAAAAGAACAAAGTCTTGATCATCCAAAGAGCAATGTCACGTAATCATATCGGAAATTATATACATGCATGACAATATTTTGAAAAAATGGGACATATTGAAAGAAATAGACAACAAGTAATACTAAGGTGATAATTAGAAGAATTAGCATGGTTAATCACTGTCGCTGTCCTCCCGTTGTTCATCGATTTTGCTCGAGCGGGCCCAGTAACATCTCCATTGTGACACTAGTTACTGTGTTTGGCATATAGAATACGCCACAGGTAGCTTGCCAGGCTTTGACGTGTGGGGAAGATGCTCTCGGTAGCTTCCCACGCTCTTTGAGAGGGGCAGAGGAATCCAACCGGGGTTGGCCCACGTCAGCCTGGGTTGGTCATGTGCAAGGCAAACGCCTTACCCATTGTGCTATCGCTCCAGCCCAACATGGTTAATAGTAATTGCTATATTACCTCAATTTTATGAACAAATTCAGTGCATTCTTAACAATATCCCAATGTCATTATACACCGAAATGAAATAAAATAGGAAATTTTATTTGGAACTTTTAAAGACTCCAAAGTGCAAAAACAATCCCAAGAAAATGAATAAAAACGAAAGCAATGCACTCCATTTCAAACTCTATAGTAAATAGGAAGTAATAAAAATAGTATTGCGTTGAAATAAAAGCAGTCACCCAGATCAGTGAAATATAGTTGAGTCCAGAAAAAAAAAACACCAATGCAGAAAACTAATTTTAAAATGCCTAAGATCATCCAATTGTATAACAAAGACTTTTCAATATACGATGTTAGGAAAATAGGCGATACTTGAAACTAGTGCATCGGTACCATACTCAAAATTAATTATAAATGAAGATCGGAAATTATCAAATATATAAGAAAAAATATAAGCAATATGTTCTTCTACATCAGAATTATAACTATCTTTGAACAGTCTGCTGTTAAAGTAAGACATAGTCAATTTAAAGTAAATAACTCAATATTGAACCTTTTACTTACAAACTGTAATTAATTATAAAAATATATAATTATTATGATTATAATTTATAATTCCATGAATTATGTTGAGAAAAACATAGGCTGAACCCATCACGACACTTTTAATGATTCAGTGTGACTAGCCAAAGCAAATGTACGAAATGGTAAAAATAGAACTTCATTAAAATTCATCAGTTGAGAAGCTTTTGCACTACAAAAGAAATGATGACCAATATAAAAGCACAAACCACAAACTGGTAGTAAATAATTGTCCACCATCAACGTGACAACGATCAATATTCAAGATATATACCGCATTTGTAAAATTTAACAAGATAAAACAATTAACCCCATTCAAAATTGGGAAGAAACTCCCTCAGGCAAACATACAGATGTCTAATAGACATATTAAAAATGCTGTACATAATTGATCAACAAGTAAATGGAATTATATTTATTTATTTATTGCTTTTTGGGCCACATCCGGTGATGCTTAGGGGTTACTCCTGGCTCTGCACTCAGGAATTACTCCAGTGGTGCTCAGGGGCCCATATGGGATATGGGGAATCAAAGCCGGGTCGGCCATGTGCAAGGCAAATGCCCTACTCGCTGTGCTATCACTACAGCCCCGCACATACAATTCTAAACAACAATGAGCTATCACCTTATAGAGTGGGTCTAACATATCAAAATACTGTTCACAATAGTCAAAATCTGGAAAAAACCCGAGCGCCCGAGAACAGATGACTGGTTAAAGAAACTTTGGTGCATCTACACAATGGAGTACTATGTAGTTGTTAGAAAAGATGAAGTCATGAAATTTACATACAAGTGGTACAACATGGAAAGTATCATGTTAAGCGAAATGAGCCAGAAAGAGAGGGATAGACATAGAAAGATTGCATTCATCTGGGGAACATAAAGTAACAAAATGGGAAACTAACACCCAAGAATAGCTGAGATAAGTACCAGGAAGTTCACTCCATGGCTTGGAGGCCAGCCGCACATGCTAGGAGAAAGGCAGCTCAGATAGAGAAGGGAGCACCAAGTAAAGGGCGTTGGGAGGATCTTCCCAGGATGGGTGAAGCATGCTGAAAGTAGACTAGGAGAAGCATGCTGAAAGTAGACTACAGACTGAACATGATTGCCACTCAAAGCCTCTTTTGCCCACCACAGCACCTAAAAGGAGAGAGAGAACAAAAGGAAATGCCCTGCCAGAGGTGGGGTGGGATGGGGGGAATGGGAAGGAGGGATACTGGGATCATTGGTGGTGGAGAATGGGCACTGGTGGAGGGAGGGGTACTCGATCATTGTATAACTGAAACCCAAGCACAAACATTTTTAAGTCTACAACTGTTCCTCACGGTGTTTTACTAATAAAAAATTTAAAAAAAAGAAAGAAATGAACAGTGCTGGTGTGAATGTGGGAAAATGGGATTCTCATCTACTGCTGGGGAAATGTCACTTAATTCAACCTTTTCGAAGATAATATGGACACTTCTCGAAAAACTAAGACTCTAGCCTCCATATGACCCAATAGTTCTACTTTTGGGCATGTACCCTACAGACCTAAGTACTCTACTCTGAAGAGATACCTGTGCTTTCATATTCATTTTAGGCACATCCAAAAACAAAAAGCCAAACTAGAGAGTGACCCAAGTGTATAAGAACAGATGGCTGTATAAAGAAGCTGTTGTAAATATACACAATTGAATTCTACTCAGGGAAGGAAGGAAGGAAGGAAGGAAGGAAGGAAGGAAGGAAGGAAGGAAGGAAGGAAGGGGAGGGGAGGGGAGGGGAGGGGAGGGGAGGGGAGGGAGGGAAGGGAGGGAAGAGAGTGAAGGAGGGAGGGAAGAAAGGAAGGAAGGAAGAAAAAGGAAGGAAGGGAAGAAGGAAGAAAAGGAGGGAGGAAGGGAGGGAGGGACAGACAGCTTTATGTTAAAAGTGTCATGGATTCCAACAGGTATATGAATAGTTGTTTATGATCTCTTATTGTTAAGGTAATATGAATCATAACAAAAATGGATGTTCCTCACTCCTGTGAGAATGATTAGACTTGTGCTAGACAGAAGGCAAGTATTGGAGATGTGAAGTAAAGGAAACTTTGTATACATCTGATAAAAGTGTAAGGTGTTAAAAACAGCATAAAAAGCAATTATGAAGATTCCTAAAAATATCAAGAAGAAAATTCCACAAATTTCAGTTTTCTCTCATCTGAGTATTTACCTGAAAACCACATGAACACTCATTTGAGGAGATAGATACAAAATCATAATCATTGTAGCATTATCTACAATAGTTAAGAGATCAGAACAATCCAGGTAACTATTGACAAGTGACTGGATAAAGATCATGTGACATATATGTATATAGAGCACATATATATGAACATATATAATGATATCAGTATATATAGTCACAAAATGAAAAGCTTCTATTTATTAAAAATTATTACATCTTAACTTTTGGAACATTATAGGTGTGTCTTAAAGTTATACTTTCTGAGTAAGACACATTGATAAAGACAGATGTATGTTTTCATTCATGTTTTACACAAGAATAAAATGAATGAACCAAGTAAAACAAAGTCAAATATTTAAGTTTTATGACTAATTGTTATCAAGGCAAAAGAGGCAATGAGGAAAGATAAATTTGGTAAAAGGGGTAAGGTAAATTGAAGGAAATAATTGACTTTTACTTATAAAATTTGACATAATAAATTCTGATGTTTATTTTTAATGTGACATGCCTGAATTGTATACATTTTTATAATGCAATATCACATCAATGAAATATTTGGTGTGAATCTAATATATGTGCAGTAAATTATTTTCAAAGTAGAAAACAATGCTTTCTTTTAGTTGCTAGATATAGAGGTAATAGTTATGCATGGAATGGAGTACTATTAAGATATAATACACAATGGAGGGGTTGAAGCGATAGCACAGTGGGTAGGGTTTTCGCCTTGCACACAGCCACTCTTGGTTTGATTCCCAGCATCCCATATAGTCCCCCGAGCACCACTTGAAGTGATTCCTGAGTGCATTGACAGATGTGACCCAATAAGCAAAAAAAAAAAAAAAAAAAAAAGAAGATTTTTTTTCTTTCTTTCACTTTAATTTTCTTCCTACCCCCCCTTTTTTTCTACAACATTATAAGAAGTGGAAGGTGTTAGGGTAATTGGAATAAGTAGAAAATAAAGACAAATACCTGATGATTGCACTTATCTCTGGTACTTATAAAAGAAAGGGAATAGATAATGTCCAAAGAGAGAAAGTTTCTAGATTCTGAGAGTAGAAATTAAATAGCAGTAGGGATAGTGGAATGAAAGGGTCTTAAGGTATTAAAATAGTGAAGGAATATTGTTATTTTTGGTGTGAATATTCTGTGGTTATATTGTACCCTTAAATATATGAACATTTATAATCTTGTACACTATATAACTTCTAAAATTAATAATTATTTAAAAACTAATATGTGGACAGATTTTAGTAGAATGATTGTCATTTTATGTGATGGAAGCCTGTTTGAAGTAGGAGGATGGATTGTGGCATTAATTTAAGTGTTTCACTTACGTTTTTGAAATGTGCATTTAAGTATAATTAAATTGTATACTTCAATATTTTTAAAACATATTTTTGTTTGATATCTAAAAGAGAACCTAAAGGACAGATATTTCTCTCTGACTGGATGATGAGCATAGATCTGGAAACAAGATGCAGAAGACTTGGCCATTTATTTATTTGATTTGAATGATGCTCTTTATTTATCATTCTATTATTAGAAAAATTATCTCAACTTTTCTTATGCCTGACTAGATTAAAGACTAATTAGGATATCACCATTTATTTGCTAAACTGTTCTTCCTGCATGGTTCATTATTCATCTTATTATAAAGTTATTCTAAACTTACTATAAACATATTCTACTTATAGAAATGTATCTTGGAGATGGAGCAATAGGAACAATGGTACAGCGGTTGGGTATTTGCCTTGCACGCAGCCGACCCGGGTTTGATTCACAGCATCCCATGTGGTTCCCTGAGCACCGCAAGGAGTAATTCCTGAATGCAGAGCCAGGAGTAATCCTTGGGCATCGCTGGGTGTGACCTAAAATGCAAAAAAAAGAAAAAGCTATCAGTATAAAAAAAAGTTTATTTAAAGTTAGAAATTATCTATGGGAATCCATTCATATTACTGATCTGACACATCAATTTTATTTTATATCTATTCTACTTATGACATAAAATGAACTAACTTTCTGCCCTAGCTGAAATATAAGACAATTGTATATAAAAATCTTATGAATTCTAATAAGACTTAGTAATACTAATGAGCATTGCCACTGAGTTGTATTTTGGGGGGGGTTTAGAGATATCAAAGCAGATTACTGCTGAGGTGTGAATAGAAAACTCAAGGAATGATTTAATTATATGTTTCTCTATTATTTGCTTGTAAAGACACATCTATCAAAAGTATAATGAAATGGGAAAGTGGGCACTAATTTTATATATAATAAAATTTTGCTAGAAAAACTAGTAGCACTGTCCTCCCATTGATCATAGATTTGCTTAAGCAAGCAACAGTAACAACTCCATTGTGAGATTTGTTGTTATTGTTTTTTGGCATATCGAATATGTCACGGGTAGCTTGTCAGGCTTTGCTGTGCGGACTGGATACACTTGGTTGCTTGCCGGGCTCTCCCAGAGGGGCAGAAGAATTGAACTCGGGTCCGCTGCATGCAAGGCAAATGCCCTACCCTCTGTGCAATGGCTCCAGCCCAGAAAATCTGGTAAAATATAAATATAGAAACTATAAATGTTAACTATTTGAGACTAGTACAGCTGCAAATAGGAAAAACAATATGTTGCACCTCTTCACCTGAAATTATTCTATATTTCAGAAATCTTTAAGATTTCATGTCATGTCATAAGCAATATTACTAAATTTTATTTTATGTATATGTAACATGAGAATAGAGTGATTTAATTTCACCTTTTGAAATATGATTTTGGTTCCTATTTTTTGTAAGATAGTTTTAATGGATCATAAAAATTTGTCATTTCAAATGTTTAATTGTATTTCCCTAAGGGGGAAAAATTACTATGAAAAAGAATGGATTGAACATGGGGAGACTGTCCACCTTTTAATTTCACTCCTGGATACTTGCCCAGTTCTTTGGAAGTTCTTAATAATTTTGTTTCCTGATGATGCCTAGAGGTGAAAAGAGACAGTGTCTAGTCGTTCATAACAGTTCGGATGAGGTAATCAAAGTGAGTTGGAAAATGATCTATCTCTGGTGACACACTAATAAGAATTCTAAGAGATTTCACCAAAGAAGACTTTCTATTTAAAGAATCTTTTTGATCCCAATCCCCTAATTATTTATTCTGTTAAAATTAGTAATGACAATGGATGGGATCCCTCATGGTATTTCATAAATTGAAGAGAAAATAATGTCAGAAGTATAACAGGGTAAAAAGAAATTAAATTGATGCATGCTCTTGTCGGTCGTTAGTTGTTTCAAAGAGTTTTTGTTTCATTACAGAAATACGAGATGACATCAGATACATGGCTCTCAAAGCAGGTATAGTATAGTTTTATAATATCATATTTTTTCTATTGTGCCAACCTTATTTGGGTGTTTGAAATGTGGTAAATTTCACTCAAAAACGTTTTAGAAATATTTCTTTGAACATTTGCTGTATTTAGGTTAAGTTTAATTACTTATGATTTGAGCTATTAATCACATCATTCTTAAATAGGGATCTCTTTTTTTTTGTAAGACAAAAACTAAAGAACTAAAGAATAGCTATTAGGATAGATAAATATGTGTTTGTGCTTATACATAAACACACACATATATAATAGATGTCATTGTGTTAGTAAAGGTGCATATAAATGAAAGGAAAAAAATTGAGACCTATCAAAACTAGAAAGTATCAACATTGTTCAAATTGTTAAGAAAATTGATCATACCTCCGTATATGTTGGCTATATGTAGCGGGGATGTTGTTGCTTGGTAGTAAAGCACATGTGTGTGTGTGAGGTACTATGTGTGAGGTTCTGTGTTTTATCTCTGGTAAAGCAAAAAAAAAAAGATTCTGTGGAGATTATTTAGATAAAGTTCTTTGTAGTAGTTGAAAATTGTTGATTAACAAATATTGGGTTAAGCTGTTGTTCATATTTTCTTTATCACAAAAAATAAGTTGCCAAACATAATAATTTCTGTGTAATTATGTGTCATTCCTTAAAATATTTAAAAGCATCTTAGTCTATTCTAGTATTCCAATCATTCCAATCCAGTATACAAGAAATGTCTCTATCCCACCACACACACACACACACACACACAAACACTGCCTCAATTTACCTTTGAAAGTATTGTCAGAGACTTTAAAAAAAAATTTGGCTTTATTCAAAACTTTTCCCTAATTTATTTCCTGTGCCATTTTGAATTGTCCTTTGTACTTCTCTATTTTAGAATGAAGAACCTGTATTTTCTAGAGATGGCAGCAAATTCTTTATGACTGTTCCAGTTAAGCAAGGGGGACGTGGAGAATTTCACCACATAGCTATGTTCTTTGTCCAGGTAAGTGTTGAATTCCTTCTCCGATTTGACTTTGTTTCCGTATTTGAATAAAAATAAGTATCTCCATAATTTTATGGCATTTGGGAACTACACTTAGTCCAGTCAAAGATCTAACTTGGGGATATTTTAGAGTATAACTCCCCCATCACTCAGAGCCATGTCTTTAAGCTGCATGTTCCTCAATATCATTAACTGAGCTACACAGGGTGCTGTGAATGAAAGGACATGGGGCACAGGATTATTTTAAAGTACCTAAATCCTACTTCGAATAACCTGAGTAAAGTTGATATATGTCTACTAAGTAATTTTTGACTGCTTTTTACAAGTAATATTTTCAAGAAGTTACTAAAGTGAGAAACACTTGAGGTAAAAAGATTGTGTGTCACCTGTGTTTTCTCTTGAGACTGTCCTCTATTTCTCTCCTCTCACATCTTTTTAGCAAGTTTAATTCAATAAAATTACTCTGCTTCACTAAAAATAGTTCAACAAAATCACTGTCCCTGTCACTGTCCTCCCTTTATTCATCGATTTGCTCGAGCGGGCCCAGTAACGTCTCCATTGTGACAATTGTTACTATGTTTGGCATATCAAATACGTCATGGGTAGCTTGCCAGGCTTTGCCGTGCAGGTGAGATACTCTCGGTAGCTATACGACAAAGTGTCATAAATAAACAAATCATGATATATTCACAAGAGAGAGTTTAAAGGTTTATAAATACAGAATGGACTGGAGCAATAGCACAGTGGGTAGGGCATTTGCCTTGTATGAAGCTGACCTGGGTTCGACTCCTTCATCCCTCTCAGAGAGCTCGGCAAGCTACCAAGAGTATCCCACCTGCATGGCAGAGCCTGGCAAGCTCCCTGTAGTGTATCTGATATGCCAAAAACAGTAACAGGTCTCACAATGGAGACATTACTGGTGCCCACTCGAGTAAATTGATGAACAATGGGAGGACAGTGCTACAGTGCTACATAAATTCAAAATAATAATTTTTTAATGTCTTACTAAATCTATGTCTACAACTTTATTTTAGCCACACCATTATGTTCTAATATATTTTAAAATCTGTTTATTTATTTTTATGGCCCTAAGATTTGCAAAGTTATTTATGATTGAGTATCAGATTTCATGTCCAACAACAATCCCATCACCAGTGTCAGCTTACTTCCACTAATGTCCCCAATTTTCCTCCCCCAATCCACTTCCTCTTCCCATCTCTATAGCACTCAAATGTCTAGCATACAGCCCCTATCAAGATGATGAGCGGTAAACCCACAGAGATATTGCTGAAAGTTTACCTATTGCATTAGAATAATAGTACCATCTGCGTCCGTATTTAACAAAAGAAACTGAATGTTATCTAGAATTAAACATGACACAGGCAGATAAGAGTTTCTGCTTAAACATAAAATCAGTATTTTCTATTTTTTTTTCAGAGTAAAAGTGAGCAAATTACTGTGCGGCACCTAACATCAGGAAATTGGGAAGTGATAAAGATTTTGGCATATGATGAAACTACTCAAAAAATGTGAGTGTTTTTGGTATTCTAGGCAGGTTTCTCAGATGCAATATTTTATTGCCAGCATTGCATTTTTCGCATTTTTCTTACCGTGTTCTAGTCAAAATAGCCTGGTCACATAAACAGTAACCTTTAATGATTGTTCCTATACTCAATTCTGATAAATCTAGCCACCCTGTCTAGGTCTCTGTCTCTGTCTGTGTCTCTGTCTCTCTCTACCCCATCTCTCTTTCTGTCTTCTCTCTTTTCTTTCTCCTCTTCTTTTTCCCTCTCCCTCACTATCTGTCTCCTCTCTCTCTCCCTCTCCCTCTGTCTCTCTGCCTCTCCCTCCCTTCTACCCTATCTCTTCTCTCTCTCTCTCTCTCTCTGTCTCTCTCTCTCACCCCTACCCCCCACACACATGCATAGAGAGATCAAGGAAAAGTGAAATGACAGTATCCCCCTCAAAACAAAAATGTTTGTTCTTCAAGTACACTCAAGCCCTTTTGTTTAATCAAAGAACCGCTTGTCTATTCATTGTGAGTTTGAAGATTCAAGTGAACACTCTGTGTGACAAAAATTGATCTTGTCTAATGTTTGTGTTTTCTTTACTGGGCAGTTATTTTCTGAGCACTGAATCTTCTTCCAGAGGGAGACAGCTATACAGGTAGGCGGTGTGCAATATTGAGTTCTTAATGGTACATTGGTGGACTAGAAAACAGTAAGTTTTCAAACTTCTTTTGCACTTTTAACATAGCTATGCAAGAGCAGGAATAACCTTGCACTTATTACACTGTTCCTTGATTCTGGGCCCTGTGTGAGTCTCAAGGAATGGAACTGAACAAAAATCACTTTGTTGTTTTCAATTTTTCTTCTCTTTTCTTATTCTCATTTTCCTTAGCCCTATTCCCCTCCCTGTTTTGGCTTGCCTCTCAGCAAACCATCTCAGCAGTGTTTACAAATTTTTCTAGTAACCCCTTTTTAAAAAAAAATATTCTATGCCTCATTTTGAATTTTAAGTCCATCAATATTGTGCACAGAGTAATTCCTGAACAGAATAAAAGTGTCGCAAACACTTAACAGAGTAAGTATTTTCCTCCCAGTGCTTATAAAATTCATTAAAATTGTTACTGAAATTGCAACTACTAAATAAAGAATAGATGGAGAATATTTTCATTTTTCCCATTATTTTGTTAAATGGAAATATGTACATGAAAGGGTCCAAAGGGCACACCTTTTTAGTATTTAAATGTCTCCTCACTCAGAAAGCTTTTACCAGGAACTCACTGAATGACTTTTATTTTTGCCTGGCTAGCAGCTTATTAATTCTAGACTTTATATACACTTTCTAATTTCCATTTCACAGATCCATTTTTAAAGTGTCAAAACTGCCATGGCATATTCTCAGTGGAAATTCATCATGTTTGAAGAAGTGTCACCACTGATTCTTACCAAGTAGCCTAGATTTTCCTTTGAGAGTAAAATTGCAAGTTTAAAGTAACCTAATTCCTTTTAATTCACTCATTCACTATTATCCATGCATAGACTGCTTAATTTAAAACAAACCTCTCTTTTTGATAATCTGTATCCGATTTATACCATTTTGTCCTTTTTTGTTTTTAGATTCTGGGATCTATGTTCTCAATTCTAATGGATTCTAAAGGAAGAACAATTAGTTATTTAAAGAAACTGAGTTTAATTTTTGTTTAGAAGTCTTGGTTGAAGTTTTGACCAAAACTTTCTTTCAAGGGATCTGAAGTTTATCTTTCTAAAAACATAGGCCATGATCAATATTTTCAGTCATTATATATATATTTTAGAAATATGAACATATTTTATCACTGATTTATCCCACTCATTTTATGAAAGCCTTGAAGAAAAATGATGATTCACAAAGATTTAAATTTAGCCACATTTATCCAATGGATTGCCAAAGTTTGTCTTCCCTTTTGTACCTTAAAATGTGATTTGAATTACAATGACTTCTTAGATTTGTGTGCTTGTCTTATTTCTCCAGTGACCAAGGCAGAAGAGTCAATATATCTATGGCCTGTAGCACTGTAACAGACTATGTTATAAAGAAAATGTAGTGCCAATAAATTTACCTTTAATAGCTCATCAAATGCCAGTTAGCTTGACTGTAAGATAATATTAGTATTTAACCAAGAAAATTCAATTGACATCTTGTTCAGCCATTAATAAAAATTATTGGTTGAATTAATGATGCGGTTACATATCCAGGTAAAATCAGAGTTGTGAACAGATTTGGTAGTATAATTTGACTCAAAATTTATATTTCTTTAACAATTTAATCTCTATATATGTAATGAGATTCAGGAATTAATCTCTAGAGAACCTAGATTTAAAAAGAAGAGTTGTTTGTTGTTTGTTTTTAATTCTAGTATATCATTAAATAGCTCTATGGAATTCTTAGTTTCTCTGTGATGGTCACACAACATTGTAAATATAGTTAATAGCATTGAAATAGATAAATAGAAGTAGTCAAAATGGGAAATGCTATTTAAAGGTCACAATTTAAAATGATAAGAACTAGGTATGATTATTTTAAAATTGTCTTAAAACTGAACTTTGGGTAAAATTGATTATTTCAGTAAAGTGGATAATTTTATATTACTATTCTTGACTTGTAAAGGAAAAAATGATTATTTATGTCCCAAAATATTTCATATGTGAAATTATGAATTTTCCCATTTAGGATAACATTTATTCTCAATAATGTGGGGTATTTTTTGATGTTGCTATCTTACCTGTTGCTATCGCCATGACTGTAACAAATCAAATTCAGCACGATTATGATTCATTTACAAATGTACAACCAAATGGTATACATCCCATAATGAAAATGGAACTATATATCCAATTAATTTTTCAAAATATCATCAGTAGATTTTTCATATATCAGCTAAGATTATACAGAATTAATCCTTATCTTAAAAACAAACAATCCTTATACTAAATTAAATCTTGAGTGAATAGCTCAATCTTTAAACACTATTATTTGCCAAGTAAAGAGTATTGTTTTTTTTTCTTAGCTAGCTTACTGATATTTCAAAGCACATATATCTATGCATGTCACTGTCACTGTCCACCCGTTGTTATCGATTTGCTTGAGTGAGCCCAGTAACATTGTGAGACTTGTTACTGTGTTTGGCATATCGAATACCTCACGAGTAGCTTGCCAGGTTTTGCCAAGCAGGTGAGATACTCTCGGTAGCTTGCCAGGCTCTCCGACAGGGATGGAGGAATTGAACTTCAGTCGGCCATGTTGGCTGAGTACAAAGCAAACGCCCTACCTGCTGTGCTATCACTCCAGCCTATGCATATGTATATTACTTTATAACAACACAGCTATCAAAAATTTTGGTGCACGTGACCAGGGAGAAAGCTCAGAGTACTGGAGGACATCCTTCTCATATGTGAACCTCAGGTTCTATTCTTTACACTGCATGATTCTGAAGTATCAGGAGAGCTATCCCTGAGCTCTTTTATGGAGTAGATTTAGAGCTCAGTAGCTCTACCACAGAACAAAACAGGACAATGCAGAAGATTTCAGTGCAGGTATTTAGTGGTAAAAAAATTGGCTCCGATACACAATTCTAATGTGTCAAGTGTTATAAATAAATAAATGAAGAACTTTATTTTATTTGTGATTTTTGAAAACATTTATCAATCCCTTCAACATACTGATGGTTATTTTATGTTAATCATCATCATCCATCTCTTTGTAAGATTATTTTTACCATGTGTGGAGGGATGTTTTAGGTCACATAGTGCTGTTGAGATTGAAACCGTGGTCATTGGGGTCAACTACATGCAAGGCCAGCACCTTAAGCCCTGTAATATTCTCTTGTTCCCCTCTATGAAAACTTATAAAGAGTGTATAAATAAAATTTAGGTAAAGAACAAATAACACTGACTGACATGGAAAATAATTTTAAACAAATTATATGTATATAATATAATATAAATGTATATGTATTACATGCATAGAAGTAGACATAATTTACATTTAACTTCAGGTATGCAAATCTTTAATTCTAATACTAGTTTTAAAAATTGATTTTTCTTGAATGTAATTCAGCTTATTATAATATTGAGATATACATAGCATGCATTCAACTATCTTGAAAGGTAGTAATTTTTTTTTTTATGATTTGCTTTTCCAAGTGCTTCTACTGAAGGATTATTGAATCGTCAATGCATTTCATGTAACTTCATGAAAGAAGAATGTACATATTTTGATGCTAGTTTTAGTCCCATGAATCAACATTTCCTATTACTCTGTAAAGGTGAGATAACGTTTACTTCTGACAAAGTCACTGGTTTATATGAGTTGTGTCTATCATTAGTAAATAATGCTGTGTTACTATATATTTTTTTAGTCTTAAATGAGTTCTGTTAAAATTATTGTGCTAAGGTATGAGTTTTTCATATATTACTGTTGTAAATAGAAATTAAGACAAAATCAACATGTACTCATGTTAAGTGCTATTTTAATAGAAACTATGCAAACTGAGAACTTCATGTCAGCAGTCATGATACTATATACTAACAATAATAAATCAATTTGCCAGTATTTGGGAAAATACTATTTTGATTAAAATGATACTTTTTAAAGAGTCATATTTTGGATTAACAAAAAATTAATTTCCTCAGTCTGGTCCCTCTAATTCTGAGAAATCATGGTAAGACCAGTAATTCCTTTCTGATAGCAATGTGTTGTTGCCTAGTAAGATATATTTATAGGATATATTGATAGAAATCATTCATCTTTTCATGTATTAATGTGAGTCCTAGAGATGTAGTTTGATCAAATCTTTTATAATTTAATAGATTGAGTTCTACTACTTTCAACTAGTATCTTTAGTTGTCTTTCTTTAACACACCACGGAATAGATCAACCTTTATACATTTTAGTTCTTTTTGCTTTAATGTATGAAATAAAGTGATTAAAAAAAGAGGCAGAGGTACTTGTTGATGAAAAATTAGACTTTTAGAAGGCATTCTGTAGAGTTGTCAAGTTTCAAGATAATACCTTAAAGCTGTATCTGAACTAACCAGTATACTTAATATGATTGAAAATCTCAGTTACTATATATTTAAAATTAATATGTAATTAACCCACATTTTTAATTTCATGGATGAAATACTTGTAATATGCATACATCATTTCTTCCTTGGTTGTGTAGTGTATTAAATTTTATCTTGGAATAATGTAGGATCACAGGAATAATGTTTAAATCTGTTTTCTGACTAGTCTATAAGAAATAGTAGTTGCATAGGATTGATTAAAATTAATATAAATAAAAAATTTAGGGAAAAATATAGTAAAAATTATATGTGAAAATAATTTTTTATCCAAATTTTGTTTACATTTGTGAATAAAAGTAAAAATGGATTATTAACTTTCTGCATTTTATTCAGGGACAAAAATATAGTTTTCATTTAATTATGCTTTAACCATAAAATATTTTCATATAATAAAAAAATAACTCAAGTAGACTTTTGAGGAGTTATTATCAGCTTTTTTAAAATATTATACATACATTTTTAAATTCCAGGTCCAGGGGTTCCTGTCATCAGTCTACATAGCACAGATAATCCATCAAGTGAGTATACAATCAAGTTAATATGGAATATTCAAGGAAGCATTGTTGTTCTACAAGTACCTTAGTTAATATCTGTGTCAGATTCTGTAGAACTGTCAAGAATCCCCATTATCAGAAACCTTCATAGGAATACACAGCACCATCAATTTTCTCTGTTTTCTTTAAGAAAGACATTAAAACAAGTGGCTTACACCTATGTTAACCTGTAGTTAAATGGTAGCACTGTAGCACTGTCCTCCCATTGCTCATCCATTTGCTAGAGACGGCCCAGTAACATCTCTATTGTGAGACTTGTTGTTACTGTGTTTGGCATATCGAATACATTCCGGGTAGCTTGCCAGGCTCTGCAGTGCAGGTGAGATATTCTCTATAGTTTGCTGGGCTCTCCGAGAGGAGCGGAGTGGAGGAATTGAACTGAACCCTGCTCGGCCGAGCTGGCCGCAAGCAAGGAAAATGCCGTAGTGCTGTGCTATCGCTCCAGCCCTAGTTAAGTAATAATTGAGTGTACATTTTATCTAGATTGAATGAGGAATAGTTGATAACTTCTTTGAGATATGTTTTAATATATTGACTTTAAGTCCTCTAATTTTTTTCCCCTGGACAACATGCAGATAATACCATCAGAGTAATATATTTTTGAATTTCAGGAGATATAACAGCTTATAGCAGTTTTTATACTTCCTGTTCTGTTTGTTTCAGATATTCAGGGTACAAAAAAAGACTATTTGAGTATTTAATTGTGCTTGTTACAGTACGACACCTTATGCCATGGTGATTTTGTTCTTCAAATTGCATAGTTAAATTTAGAGTGATGTTCTTAATATTACTAAGAATATTAAGTAATATGTTCACTTAAAGGAGATAAAACATATCTTTATGAATACAATGTTGAATCATAAATGTAATTTTCAGAGAACAATATTTATAATTTTTAAGCCATATCTTTACTTGCCCTAGGTAATTATGAAATTTCTACATCTGTAATGGAGGGGTTTCTTTTGTGGTTGGAAATAGGTTAGCACATTAAGTTTCTATTTATATGTACCATTAGTATGTATCTTGAAAAGTTATTTTTGGCCAATTAAATTACTTTAATATTAATAGCAAACACAAAATAATACTAAATTTAAAAGTCTTAATATTTAATAAAATTTAACTTTTTATAGGGCGTTTGCCTTACAAGCAGCCAACATGGCCGACCCGAGTTCGATTCCTCCGCCCCTCTCGGAGAGCCCGGCAAGCTACCGAGAGTATTCGATATGCCAGACACAGTAACAACAAAGTCTCCAATGGAGATGTTACTGGGCCCGCTCGAGCAAATCGACGATCAACGGGAGGGCCTTTACCTTTACCTCTTCCCTTTTGATGGGATCTGCAAAAGGTTACCTTATATGATCAATATTACTATGGGGAAAATTTCAAGTGAATTTTCTGTCACTGTCACTGTCACTGTCCCTGACCTCCCGTTGTTCACTGATTTGCTTGAACCCAGTAAGCTACCGAGAGTATATCACCTGCATGGCAAAGCCTGGCAATCTACTCGTGATATATTTGATATGCCAAACACAGTAACAAGTGTCACAATGGAGATGTTACTGGGCCCACTAGAATTTTCTGTATGAAATATATTTATTAAACAATGCATTTAATAAATAGTAAATGTTTGTAATATATTTGTATAAATAAAATGTTTTTGAATTATCAATCTGATTAGAATTTAATTTTATTTTATCATATAAGATAATATTGTTTTCTACTAACTCATATTGCAAATCCTGATAGATTCTTGAGTAAAAGAAATATTTCCAGTTTTCTTCCTAATTGACAAACAACTTATAATTTTCTTATGGTCAAGATAATCAGAAAGATCTCTCACCAGAGTTATATCTTTATTTTTTTCTTAAAACATAATTTTTCCCTTAAGACATATTTACTTCAATTGAACGTAAATTAAATAAAATGTAGATTCAAAGTAAATATTTTGATTAATCAATCTTTGATTAACTAATCTGATACATGATACATTAATGAGTCAGGCATAATCAATCATTCTGAGCCTACATAACATATAATAGTACTTGGAAAAATGTTTAAATATTCAGTAAACATGGAAACCGTTAATGCCACTACTTATCAATGAAATGCATGATAAAACATTGCCATATAAATTGTTCTAACAAATAAATAACATCAAATTTTACATTGCTAATGAGAATATAATGAGACGCTCATAACTCACTGGCAGATATAAAAATTAAATCAAATCTTTTGGAAAATAATAATTTACTCATACATCTTAAATCTTTTTTAATTATTTACCCAGTATATTTCCTTCTAATAGTTTATTCTCAAAAATTTAAATAGAGACAATTATAAAAGCAATATTAATGATTGTGAAAAACATGATGGAGGAAAAAGAAGAAACTTAAATAACCATTAATGGAATATTAATTAGTTCCCTGAATATCTTTCATTTGTCCTCTCAAGCATTTTTATCTCTAGGTGTTCCTCTTCCATGGTGGCTTCCCTAAAAGGGGTGTCTGCAGGTGACAGGTTCCTTTGTCATTAAACTGCCAATTGGATTCACCTCAAATAAATCCCTTTGGTGTCTGAAGGAAAAAAATAAAGTGACTTTAGAGCATCCATTTTTTTTTAATTCCAACTGTTGCAAAGTGTCCCCAGGGTTGTATCATTGCTAAGACACTTGGTTGAGGTCACTCTGGCTATCACAATAATGGTTGTCATGGATCTACCATCTCTGCTGTATTCTCTTGAATTGCAAATCTAGTCTCTGTCATTAATTAATCTTGGGTTAACACTATAATAACCTTATGTTTTCTCTGTTCAGCATCCATATATTTCTTCAATTTGTTACATAGTTAATAAAGTATTATAATTCTCTTACTAGGATTAACAATGACAGGTTCACAAAAATACTTCATCATGTTCAGTTGTATTTTAAATGATTAGGGAGTCCAAATGTCTGTCACTTAAACAAAACTATTTGAAAATCCATATAAAATTCAAGAGGAGAAAAAGGAGAAAAAGGAGAGAGAGAGAGAGAGAGAGAGAGAGAGAGAGAGAGAGAGAGAGAGAGAGAGAGAGAGAGAGAGAGAAGTGCCTGCCAGAGAGGCAGCCAGGAGGTGGGGGTGGGGGGTGAGAGTGATAGGAGGGAACTTGGGGACACTGATGGTGGGAAATGTACACTGGTGGAGGGTTGGGTATTGGAATACCGTATGACTGAAATCTAATCATGAACAGCTTTGTAAGGGTCTATATCACAGCAATTCAATACTTTTTAGAAAAAAATCTTGAGGACAAAATTTTTGCAAGTGCTATTATTCTTATTAGATTTGACTGGCAGAATTTGACGTATTTTTCAACCTTTTTCTTGGGTTTCATAATGCTATAAAATTAATAGATAATACTTTTATAATGAAAAATAAACTCTTTGTTGTAATTCTCATTAACTCAAGACAAGGTACAAATATAAAAAAATCATTTAGTATTTCCATATTCCTGTGTATAATTTTGTATATGCTTTGTTCTATTTTTAAAATATCCATCTCTCTCTCTCTCTCGGTATATTTTATTTTTTGGAAGGGTGGGTGATTGGGAGGGCTCCCAAGCATTGCTCAGGAGACATGATGGTCCTTCCTAGAAATGTTGTGAATCAGGTTGGTGGTTCAATGTAAGGGCCCACAGATATGGCACTGTTAGAGCCCTACAATACCCCAAATACTCATGCTACTCCGAGGGTGCTCAGGTGCCAGCAGTGCTATACCAGTGAACCATGTGGTGCCACTGATTGAACAAGGATCAGGCACATGCAAGGAATGCTCCTTAATCACTCTTCTATTTCTCGAGTGTTGTATATTCTATTCTTTTCTTATATTTTAATTCTCATTTTCACCTTTATTCAACCTTTCTTCCTATTTTTAATAATTTTCTTTAACTTTCTCCTCTCTTTTTTTTTCTCCTTAACAAGTGTCCATCATTTTTCTTTTCCTTCTAATCTACTCAAAATTTATTTCTAAATATTTTCTTCTCTTTCCAATATTTCACAATATGTCTCAAACATTTTTATAAATTAATTATTTAAAAATCTGCCTGTTTTTAATATTTTGAAAACAGAGTTATATTGTTAATGATTTTTCTTAAATCAAATATAATTTTCTGTGTTTATGATCTATTTTCCCCAAAAGTGGATGAATGTCTTTGAAGGTTTTCGAATATTGGGAAGGAAGCTCAATAATCAAAAACAAAATATATGGAGAACAAACCTAGAAATCTGTATAGAGTTACAAAGGATGAACTTGAGTCTATTTTCCAAAATACTTCAGCACTCAGCATTAAACATGAGGGCCACTCTTTGAGCAAAGTGAATGCCCAAAGCTAGCATAACACCGGATCCTTATGGAGAGATTTCATACAAAATATGCCTTTGTAATTTGTGAAACTAAGCATTCAGCAAAGTTACTTAACTTCAAACTAGAGTGATTATTTTTAAGAACCTTGAGTGGACAAGGGAGTAGCTCAAATAGTATATTACACACGTACCATGTGTGAGGGGCTGGAGCGACACCACAGCAGGTAGGGCGTTTGCCTTGCACTCGGCCGACCCGGGTTCAGTTCTTCCACCCCTTTCAGAGAGCCCGGCAAGCTACTGAGAGTATCTCGCCCTCACGGCAAAGCCTTGCAAGCTACCTGTGACATATTTGATATGCCAAAAACAGTAACAAGTCTCACAATTTGTTGTGAGACATTACTGGTGCCTGCTCGAGCAAATAGATGAATAACCAGTGCTATAGTGCTACCATGTGTGAAATTTTGAGTCCATCCCCAATACTGAATACTCCCATATTGCTAATACATATCCCGTTGCCAGCCATATGGACCAGTGATTCCCCAGTCATCATTGGGTTTTCACAGAGCATAGTATCTGTGAGTAGAAGACTTAAAATGATTAAAACTAATTGCATATGAGTTAGATAATTGCTAGAGTACAGAAAAATAATTTTTTAAATAATGTAATAATATCCAGAACATAAAATTGTGGCTATTACAATAATCAGAATCCAATAAGAGGGGCTGGAGCAATAGCACAGCGGGCAGGGCGTTTGCCTTGGACGCGGCTATCCTGGGTTCAATTCCCAGCATCCCATATGGTCCCCTGAGCACCGCCAGGGGTAATTCCTGAGCGCAAAGCCAGGAGTAACCCCTGTGCAATTATTAAAATCACACAATTTATTCACATATTTCATATATGCTAACAAAGCCAGGAATGCAAAACATCAGGAAAATCTAGCAAAAGACAATAGAACACAAACATTAAAAATGCTGATTAAAAATTCACAGCGGCAGGGTGGAACAGGGGGGGAGGGGAAGGTGGAGGGAGGGATGCTGGGACCTGTGGTGGGGGAGGATGGGCACTGGTGGAGGGATGCGTACTTGATCATTGTATAACTGAAACCCAAGCACAAAAATTTATAAGTCTATAAGTGTACTTCATGATGTTTCACTAATAAAAAAAATGATAACAAAAAATTCATCCAGGCAAAACCTTAAACTAGAATGGGAAACTTACAAAATTCTCTTCCAAAGTGAAATCAAAACAAAGAATCAACATTTAAAAATACTGAGAATGTTTTTATCCAGCCTTGTTTATTTTTTTTAAAGTATCAAGTAACTTAGAAAATTGCTTAAAATATATTGTATCAAATAAAAATTAAAAAATAAAATAAAAAATGAGTATGGCTAAATTTTGATTAGAAACTGTCAGAATTATTTTTAATAAAAATATTTTAAAAATCAGTAATCTAAACTACTCATATAAAAATCTAGTCACAGAATAGCAAATGTACACAAATCTATAAGAAGGAATAATAAAATGTTGAATAAGTGCTAATAAAAGTAAACTAGCAGTTGAAAAAATATACACATTTTGTTACTGAAGAAATCAATTAAATTGGTAATGGAATCATAAAAGTTTATCATTAACATTTTCACTAATGAGATAGAATGATGTAAGTACAGGCCTTATAGACATAAAATTACAGTAATGGACTATTAAAAGTAAATTTTGGCATGGGCAAGATATTTGTTATTTAGATCAAATAAGCAAAGTTTTAAAAGAGATATACAAAAATTTCATATAGGAAAATATATTATACATAAATATATAAAATATACAATATATAAATATTCTGTTACATAGTAAGCATTGCAGTTCACAATGGATAACAAATATGCCACTAAAAAATCCACAGAGATAGTTAAATGTGCTAACTTCCTACTTGAACATGAGGCCAGAGTTAATCACTGACCCACACGTTCCTCTAGAATTGTCAGGAGCAACCCTGGAGCACAGAGCTCGGAGTATATATTATGCATGGAAGGGCATGGCCCCAAATCAAACAAACAAAAAAAAAAATAAAAGAACAAAGAAAATCCCAGTCAGTTAGCTTCACTGATACAAAAGTTAATATGTGAGTAGCAAGGTTATATATAAAAGTCTTTCAGAAAATACTAGGTCAAAATGAACTGGATTCCAAATGCAGACAAACAATTCTTTCTCAGGAATATAAATGGTAAATTCTTCAGCTAAATACTGTCAAGTCCCACACTTAATAAAATCATAATGCATTATTATCATGTATTTTTTTTGTAGAATCTATGATTGCTTTAAAATAAATGGTTATCATGTAATTCACTGTAATGGTGTCAAAGAATTTAGAAAAATATGTTTGAAAAAAAATAATATTTTTTAATTTAATATAATTTGAACAACTTTAATAATATAATAATATAATTATAATAATATAAAATATAAAATACTGGCAGGCTACCAAATGTAACCTGCCCACACAGCAGAGTCTGGCAAACTCCCCGTGGTATACCCAATATGCCAAATACCAGTAACAATGATGGGTCTCATTCTCCTAACCCTGAAAAAGCCTTGAATATGGCACTTTAAAAAAAAAAAATCTCAGGGCTAGGACGAAGAAGACGTTACTGGCACCTGCTCGAGGCAATCGACGAACAACAGGGTGGTTGTGATCGTGATCGTGAAAATATAAAATAATATAATAATATAATTTGAACAACTATGAGTCCAAAGAATATGAAAAAACGTTGTAGCTTAATGAGAAACATCTACAAAAATATCATAATTGACATATTTAATTTTGGAAGATTCATTGCTTCACTCCTAAAAATGAAGAAAATTTAGTGAATGTCAGTTTTCACATCTATTCATCATATGATATTGTAGTAACTAACTTCATGAATTCTGGAAAAGAAAATAAATATAAGGAGAAAAAAACTGCATTGTGAAGACATGCTTGTAAACCAAAGAATACATTGATATTAAAAAATACACTCTTTTAAAAAACATGTATGGTCTAAGGACTCAAAGGCCTAGAACACATGCTTTTGTTAAGCCTAGAAATTAAAACACTGCACAGTTCCTGGAACACTGTCCAGAAGGACTCCTGAGCCAGACCTAAAGTAGATGCAGTGAACCACATCTTAACTCCTGTGTTGCAGATAATAAATCCAAGAAATATGCACAAATTACTGAAAATCAAACCAAAAATCATTGAGATTTTTGAAGTCTCAAATGGAGATAAACATTTATTCATAATTATTGCTTGGGTGGAAAAAGAATGGATATAGCAGGTAGGGTGTTCACTTTGAGCAAGGTTGACCCAGGGTCTAGGTTCTATCCTTGGCACTGCATGTGGTCCCCCATTATAGCTTGGAGTGCTTCCTTAGCACTTCCAGATGTCGTCCAAATGAAAAAATAAGCAAAATAGAAAAAAGACAGGTAATTACTGATTGGACGACCACAGTTTTACTATGTAAATTATTTCAATGGTTATATAATTATATATAAATAGTATGTCAGTCAAAATCCTAGAAAATTGCTAGAACACTGGCTTTTTATCAATACTTCTTTTTTTCATTTTTGGTATTTCTTTTTTTTTAATATATACTATTTGTTTCTATATTTCTAAATTTATTTTTCAAATTTTCAAATTAATTTTCTTCTGAAATGCAATGTTCTTCTCATCCTACCCTATACTTTTATGTAATCATTTTTATGAAGCCCATATTCTTTAGTATATGTTTTTGACATCCAATCACCCAATTTGTTTCTTTAAATTTATTCTTATTTATGCTTAGTATTCCCATGTTTTAAATTAACTGAACACAAAGAATAAGGTTGTAATATGTCATTTAATGTGACTATCAACCCACTATTTCAAATATGTTCTTTGGAATACTAGTACTTAAATTTTGTACAGACTCTGGATGGATCTTCCTTATTTTCTGAATATATGGTAATTTTGTATTAAAATCCCCACATTTGAATTTTATCTCATTATTGCTAGATGAATTCATATTCTTTTAAGTATACTTAAGTAAGGTAGTCGTATAATTATTTTTTTATTTGAACTATAAATGTTAATTCCAACTATATAGAACACTGAAGAAAATTATACAGGACTGTGGAAACTCAGGGGAAAAACATAGTAATTTAGAAATAAGATTTTAATCTGTGTTCCGCACAGTGTCTACCAATCATTAGAACAGCTAAATAAGCATTTGTTGTATTGATTATCAACACACAGCATCCTGTGATTTACTGTGCCCTTTTTGATTTATAGAATATTTTGTATTGGAAGGCAATTCTATGCTGAAGGAAGCTATCCAGAAGAAGAAGATAGTAAAGTCAGAAATTAAAATGCTTCATATTGATGACTATGGTAATGTTTCGTGAATGCTATATTATTTAAGAACAATTTTCTCTGTATCTGTAGTTTAACATGTAAATGACTCTCCATCTTTAATGTTCTGCTCTTTCTTTAAAAGAACTTCCTTTACAGTTGTCCTTTCCCAAAGATTTTACGGACCGAAACCAGTATGCTCTTCTCTTAATAATGTAAGTATTTCATTTGTTTCTGAAATAAAAGGATTTAAACATTTTGTATATTTTTAAGATTCAAATGACAGCATGCTGATTTAAAGAAAGTAAAGAATTTCAGTGTGTCATTGATCAGGATACCTGTCAGTTGTAGGCATCCACCAACGATGCCATTTATCTAAACAATATCTAGGAACTTGAAGTTTCCTTTGAGCTCCATTTTTTGTTTTCAGATCTAGAAAGTAAGTTTCTGTGAACATTGTTATATCTAATTGCAGGGCTTATAAGTCCTTGTCTAAGAATTTATTAGGTTTTTGGTTGTTTCACCTCCTTAAATCTATAGGTGGAGGTCTATTTCCTGTAACTTCTTCATGCTAACCCCTACCTATGTAAAGGTGTGAAATCTCATGCTTACTTAGTATTAGTGGGACCCAGGCAAAAGTTTTACAGATTTTAGATTTGTCAGCCTGAAAGAGAAATAAGATTTGGCAACATTTTAAAAACATTAGGCTCTGAAGGAGAAAAAAAAATTGCCCTGGTCAAAGAGGTCCTTTCATTTTATCCATACATACAAAACTTGGTGTAATGATTGAAGTAGCCTAGTTCATGAGGCTCTTGAAAAACTGCTTATGCTGGTGTGATCTCATTGGTGGTGGAAGCTAAACCCTACAAAGGTGGAATTTCAGCTCAAAAAGCACTCAGGCCTGTCAATTGGCTAAAAAAAAAATAGAGTAAATCTTTATACCATCTAAATAAGCTCTCTTTAAGTCTTACATGGGCCTGCGAGATGGAATGCAAAGACTATCTGATGGCTAAAAATAGGCCCATAAAACATGGTGCAGAAATTTTATAGCTATCGAAGACATTGCAGGCTTCCAAAGAAATAGTTATGCATTGCAGAGACCGTCAAAAAGGAGTTACTGAGAAAAATATGGGAAGGAGCCTAGCAGATTCTAGAGACAGAAAGGCAGTCCTTAATCTGTATTCAATTATGGGACTTATATTCCATTCAGAGAAATTCTCTTTTAGCCAGAATTCTCGAAGGTGTGGAACAATGTTTTTCAAAAAGGGACTAATATTCGGTTTGTTAAACAAGAGACATTACTTATTCCTGGGCCAATTTGATGGAAAATAGTTAAAGGATTCCCATTTATGAAGAAAAGCTTTAATGATATTTGCTAAAACTATCTTTCCTGAGAAAGGAGCTAAACAGGACAGTAAGAGATGTAACTCAGAGCCAGGCCAGATTTCTCCTGGCACCAGCTCAGCATTGAGGAACCTCCCCCAAGGGAGGACTGGCAACTTAACTTCACCAAATGCCTAACTTGCTCAAGGTACAAATTTGTTCTCATTTTTACTTTCACTCGGAGCACCCCCACACATACTGAGAAAACCAGAAGTGTCTAAAGTGTTCCTTTTTCTTTTTTTTTTTTTCGCTTTTTTTGGGGGGTCACACCTGACGATGCACAGGGGTTACTCCTGTACTTCTGGTGGTGCTCAGGGGACCATATGGGATGCTCGGAATCTAACCTGGGTTCGCCGCCTGCAAGGCAAATGCCCTACCTGCTGTGCTGCAGCCCTCATCTAAAGGATTTCTTAAGAAAAAAATAATTTTGGGGGGCTGGAGTTATAGTATTATGCCTTGCACGAGGCTGACCCAGGTTCAATCCCTGGCACCCCGAATGAGCCCACCAGGTACAGAATTAAGAAGTAATCCCTGAGTATTGCAAAGTGCAGCCAGATAGGGATAAAAAGGAAAATAATTTTTGATTTGTCTTACCCGAGTCATCTACAGGGTGAGAGTAGCACTTATTTCATTTCTAAAGTGACTCAAGTTTAGCGTCTGCTTTAAAATAATTTTTTAACCTAGCATTGTCAGTCCTCAAGACAAAAGGACACATGTAGATGATTCTTAAAAATACACTATTTCCACAATATTGGGCTGGATTAATAGCACAGCAGTAGGGCATTTGCCTTGCAGGCGGTCAACATGGCCAACGCGAGTTCAATTTTCTGCACCTCTCGGAGAGCCTCGCAAGCTACTGAGAGTATCTCACCCACACGACAAAAGCCTCGCAAGCTACCCATGATGTATTCAATATGCCAAACACAGTAACATCAAGGCTCACGATGGAGACGTTACTGGCCCAGCAAATCGATAAACAACGGAAGAACCGTGACCATGATTCCACAAGATTGCATTGATTTAATTTAGACAGCTTCTCCTCACTTTATTATACAGAATATGTCGGTTCACTTTAGTAAGTCAAATAATCTTGAAAGATAATATTAATTTCTTTTACTCTTACTGACAGACCTTTAACCTCACTGAGGATCTCAAGTCCACAGCTTTCTTCTCCTTTGTACCCAGTAGACAAATGGCCTTCCAAATGTTTGTTGTCTTCCTAAGGGAGAACTTGATCGTTCTTCCTGAACTTGACTTTTTTTTTCTTTTCTTTCACCTAGATGGTTTCAGTTTCTATTTGATTTGTATGTATAATTCATTAAGAAAAATATTTGTCTTTAGTAGAATATATTTTAAAAGGAAATGTTTATATATAGTTATAGCTCATTTGGGGAAAAAGTGCTATTTTTATTTACTGAAATATAGAGTTTCTCAGCAAAATGGGTCTACTTGACATTATTCCTTAAGACGTGATTAACTTTACGCAGATGGTCGTATAAAGGCTTTTTCCCAGTTGTATACCCAATGGCTCTTATAAATTGTCTCTGAAGATGGCTGGCCCGTCTAACTATTAAGATTTATTATTTACTCTGGGTGTTTTTATTTTGTTTTATTTAATTGTTTTTCAGGTGAAATAGTAAATATTAGTGTTGATTGAATAAAAAATTATCTTAGGGATCAACTTTGGATTCAAATCACTGCTCAAAGATAATTGCTAGTACATTGAGTATTTTCACAAAGTTTTTTTCTTATGAATAAGTTCAAGATAACATGAGTTTATCTTTATGAATTTTACCATATTTGGCATTAAATGCACTTAGTATTTAATAAATTATAACCTTAGTGATTGTTAATAGCAATGGAAGATTTTGAATGTTTAAAATTGTCCAAGTGAGAAATATGTAACTTATCACTTATATTTATTAGACATTCATTTATAAAAAAGATAGTAAGGACCATAGTTCTTTTGACACATTTTTGGTTGATAAAAGAATGAGAGTTGATACTGATCATTTGTTTTTGCCATTTTTATATGTGAATTATACTAGATGACAGGTTACTTTATCCAAACTCCTCAATTTTTAGAGGTACATTCTGAAGTATTTTGTATAACATGGCTTTACAAAAACCAAATGAGGATATTTTTTCCCTTAATATTTATAAAATAATCTGTTGTTTTATGATGCATGTTTAAACTTAAAACATGCTTGAAACCATTTTGGTCAGGATGGCTAAATATATTTTAAGTTCTTTTATTGAAAACATGTTTTAAACCTCAAGACATGCTTTATTTCTTAAGTTTAAATTCTGTTCCCAGGAACAGATGTCGTTCCCACTCTAAAATAGAATACAGGGCCTGGGAGATGTTATAGGGAGAAAGGCTCTTCACTTTATATGAGTTTGTCCCTGTTTTGTCCCCAGCAACAGAAAAATACAAGCCCCACCAGGAGTGTTTCCTCAGTGCAAAGTGAGGAGTAAGCCCTGAGAAATGCTGGGTGTGCCCCTCCGAAAAAAAATTTAAAATAAACTAAAATTTAATTTTTCTAAAGTAGATAGTGAGTAGTAGTAGAGTGACAGTTTCTATGGGAACAGTGAAAAAATTAACTGAAGAGAAATAATTTTATTAAGTCAGTGTCAGTACCTTATTGCTATTCTGTGTATCAGACAGTGAAACATATCCTCATCTCTATTGGGTTCATATCTGGGAAATTTTACAATGATTACCAGAGACAAGCTGTGAAAATGTCTAAGGGTTGAAAGATTGCCCTCAAGAATGTACCCTCTGGCATTCCTTTCTGGTAAATTCCTTTATGGAATTTCAGAAGAAATATTCATCTAAAGACCACTTTATGTCCATATTTTCTGAAACCCAAGTCTAATTTCATGATATTTGAAGTACAAGTGAATCAATAGCAACAGAATATTTTGCTATAATGGGAAAAAAATCTAAGATATATTGCCACCAAATGTATCCTAGTGGCCTTAATTTACAGCTATCTCTATGGAGTCAAGACAACCTTTTCCCTTCAAACTAGTTCAAGTTTACTCTTTTCTCTCTGAAACCCTGTCTTACTCCATTTTATTTCTATTTTGTATTAAGAACCCAATAATCTATCAATTTCATACTTATGCTATATACACCTATTTCAAAATATATAAACTAGATTTATTCTTATATAGGTAGTTTAATTTAATGCATGCTTACGTTGATTTCTCTGCAAGTCTCTGGGGAAATGAAAAAATTGCAAGTGTTCTCAGGATTATATGAGAAATATCAGTTATAGTGCTTTTCTTTTTTTAAAAAAAATAGCTATCCATAATCTACATGCCTGAATCCGGTTACAAAACAATCCAGAAAAATCTGCTAATGAGAAAGAGAAAATATTTCTATTGGTCTGTGTTCCTTCTCCCTTCACAAAGAGTTTTGGTAGAGGTAGGGAACTAACTTCAGTGCCAAGAAACCATCTTCTCTTCACATCTTCTACTCTTCCACGTTCATTCATCAATGCCACAATTGATAAAGGCCTTAACACAGGGAGGTTGTGACTTTTCAACAACCTATATTAATTTTCAAACCAACATATTCTATCATGCTCCAGTGACTTTGTTTCCTCATCCTGAATTCATCTTCCTTGACAGCATAATGAATTTATGGTCATCCGTCAGGTTTTATATATCTGGAGTTTTCTTCTCTCTGCTCATGTATCTACCAATATGTCCCATCACAATCCCTAGTCATCATCTCTGTCCATACTATAGCCTCCCTTCCAAAGACTCTCCACGTATTTTGATATTTTAGTCTTTTGTAACTTTCTCCTAAAATTTGTGGTGT